TTCTTCCATTTCCATGTTTGAAGGAACTGGAACTAAAGAGAGAGACTCAGAGATAATAAAAGAGGGATTTTTTTTTTACCCTTTTTGCGTCTCTTGTTGTTCTTGTTGGTACTATTGGAGATGGGGAGAGGGAGAGTGCAACTGAAGAGGATTGAGAACAAGATCAACAGGCAAGTGACTTTCTCAAAGAGGAGGTCTGGTTTGCTTAAGAAAGCCCATGAAATTTCTGTTCTTTGTGATGCTGAAGTTGCTCTTATTGTCTTCTCCACAAAGGGCAAACTCTTTGAATACTCCACTGATTCTTGGTATGCCTTTACTCTCCATTCTTCTTCTTCTGATCTTCTTCTTTATTTCCATTCAATTTCTTTAATTTCTTTCTTTCATATTCATCACAAAAAAAAACCCCAATTGGAAAAGGTTGGAACTTTTCAACTATTTGTGTTTTGTTCGTGTACATGATTTATGTTGGAATATAAACTAATGCTTTCATTTATGTATGTAGTTCTCAATTCCAGCCGATGGGCAGCCAATTTTTTTCGTGAGAATCTAAGAATTTGAGAAAATTTGTATGATTTCTTTAATTAAAAATATGTTTTTTTTTTCTTGAGTATTTGGATCAACTTATAGGCGTGCCTCGCTTTGCGAGATTGTGACGTTGCACCATATTCTCTACTCATTGGGAGTTGTTCGGGGTAGTCACTAGTGTTGCACTCATTTTCAGTAGAAACTGTGTTTTCATTAAAAAAAATTAAAGGGGGACTAAAGTTAAAAGCTTGGTCCATGGGAACCTAGACTCTCCTTCCTCCTGATCATGCACTTGTTGTATCATTGGATGAACAATAATTCTCAGGATTATATATAGATTATTGTGTGTGGGTCTAATTCTTTTTTGAATAATAATAAAATAATATGATTTAATGTACTATATATATGCTGTTGAATAATGAAGCATGTCAATTTAGCAACAGCATCATCTTTAATTTGTGTTTCTAGAAGTGATCAACGTTACGTTAGTTTTTTTATATGCTTTGGGCACATATATATATATATATATATACATATATAAAATAACGAACAAAAAATTTAAGAATAGGATATTGGGTGAGTTTTTATATTTAGAAATATTTATATTTCTACTTTCTTTTAATCTTTTTGTTTATTATTATTATTTGGGTGTTTTTGTGTGAATGTTAGAACCAGCTAGACTGGATGATCTCTCAACTATCCTTCAATTCATCTCTCATTATTCATTAGTAAAAATATTCAAAAGGATTAGAATAAATGTTCTATTCAAGAACAAAATATCAAGACTTTGAATACAATAAAAATTATAAACAGAAATTATTTGTAAATTTAACATTGTTTGATAATGATTATGGTTTTAAGAAATTTGTTGGCTTATTAGATTTTCTAGTTGAAATTAAAAAATAATAATAATAATAAAAATATATTTTTCAGAAAATATTTTTCGTTTTTTAATTGTTTATAAACAAGATTTATAAAGCAAAAGTCAAAAACACTCCAAAGTACCTTTAGAAAAGCAATCCCTAGGTCCTTTGGCTCAAATGTTCATAATTAATTACTCTCATAATAGGCTTCTTTTATATATATAATCATTAATCTCTCCATATACAATTTTTTTTTAAATATACATTCTCTCGATCAATTGTTGTTAAAAAAATTAAAAAAAAAAAAAGCCAATTGATAAGTCCTCTATCAATTAATTCCAAAATTTGAGATTAACATTGTGTTAAATGTAAAGGTTTGATTATTACTTTTTCTAAGCTTGTAATCACAGGCAGCAATGTGAAGTTATGTCACTTTCAAAACTTTATTATAAGAAACTTTTTGAGTTGGGAAATTGACCATCTTTATGTTCCTCGTCCAATGATTTGTGTGCTTTTATTTCCCCAATTGGGGACCAAATGATTTCATACCATCTTCGTTCTTACTCAATTTACATGATCTCAAGTATATTCATACAATTCTTTTTCACTTTGAAAACATTGAAGGCCCTCCCTTTGCTTTTATCTAAAGTTTCTGTTTTTCTTTTTGTGCTGCAGGTTCTTCTTTTAAACCATGTTGTAATGATTGCATTATAAACACAATGTCATGGGCATTAATTACTTGATTTGAGTTACTAATAATGATAGTGTAACTAGAAGTTTACTATTATTTAAATTGGAGTATTACTACACTAATGAGTTTAACTTCGTGATCAGCATGGAAAAAATTCTGGAGCGATATGAAAGGTATTCATATGCAGAGAGGCGACTTGTTGCAAATGATAACCAATCCAACGTACGTACTAAACATGTTGATCCGTTACATATGTATAGAATGAAACCTTCATTCTCGATTCTATGAGAATTTTTATGACACTTTCATTCTCCAACTCAATAAATACTTTTTCTTTTTGCTTCATCGATTATAAAAACTGTGTTTTGCATTTTTTGTTTAGGGAAATTGGACTCTTGAACATGCAAAGCTTAAAGCTAGAGTAGAGGTTCTACAGAAAAACCACAGGTTAATCTCATTATCGATGAGTTTTTCATTAAAATTTGTGAGTAGGCTGTAAAGGGAAAACTTTGTTGATGGTTCAGGCATTTCATGGGGGAAGAACTTGACTCCTTGAGTCTAAAAGAGCTCCAAAATATTGAGCAACAGCTTGATTCTGCACTCAAGCATATAAGAGCTAGAAAGGTACGTAGAAATATTTTACTATACTTTGATCGGGTTGTTCAAGTCACTGAGAAGCACGAACACAAGACCCGGTGACCCGTTGTTTTTTAAAAATTTATGATATGGACTCAATGAAGGGCACATTTATTAAAATATACGATTTGTTTAGGAAGGTGAATTCAAAGTCAATAAGCTGCATATGCACTTTTATGTTTAAAAAAATAGTATAATGTATTTTACTCTCAAAATTTATTATTTTGTCATATTTTATGATTTATGTCTATTTCCTATGCGTAACAAGTGCCCGATATGTGTCCAACAATTATCAAATCCATATTCACTCTGTATAGCTAGTGTGTGTGATAAGTGTCGGAGTGTCGTTGGAGTGACCGACATGGAGACGTTACCCAAAATGTAGAGTCCGTGCTTCTTAGATTCAAGATTTCTTAAACATGTATAAATCACTAATTAAACAATACAGCAGTTGAACACATGGTTTTGCTGGCTCTAATACCATCTTAAACATCATATATTGAAATACTTAAATTGATGAATTAGGATAAATTTAATCATTTATTAGAAATATAACCACATTTATATATTTTGTTGAGGAGACTCCTAAACTTTTTCTCCTGCAGAACCAACTCATGCATGAATCCATTTCAGAGCTTCAGAAAAAGGTAAACTTGCTTCCTCAGTTTATTTTTTCCTTTTCTTTTTCGGCCCCACCCCACACTACTCTATAGAGAGAGTACACATGTCTAATGCAACTCTCAAGAGAGATAAAATTTTTTCGAGAGAAAAATCATTAGATTTTAAGATGGTAAAGTGGGTGACTACTACCAAGTTTGAAATCATGACCATTAAGATCAGATAAATCATGATAGCGTGTATTTGAACGAGACAATACAGGAACACAATTTCTTTCAATTTTCTTCCTCCTATATCACTTTAAACAAGAATAATGTGCATAAATATATAGTTGAATCTCTCCAAGTTATATTTTAGTACAAGACAATGATCTCACGTTAGAGTGTAAATAAAAGTTGAATAAGAGATCTTAATCCATATTGCAATGTTTGATCAGGACAAGGCACTACAGGAGCAAAATAACATGTTAGCAAAGAAGGTGATGACTCTTACCTCCGCATATTATAGAGAAGACAATAATATAGTTAATTATCTAATTCTTTGATTTCAAAAAACAACATGTAGATTAAGGAGAAGGAGAAAGCACAGGCTCAAAATCCACAATTGGAGCAGCAACAACAGAGTAGCCATGGAATAGAATCTTCCCCACTTCTCATACCTCAGCCATTCCATTCCCTTAACATGACGTTAGTATATATCTTGTTCAAATATTCGCTCCCCAGGTCACTCTTGTCGTAACAGTTAATTCAGTTGTTGACAATACATGCAGTTGTCCTTACCCGACGCGTGACACCGGAGGCGAAGACATAACCGCCTGTCACGACAGATCAGGCGCCCTCCTGCCGCCGTGGATGCTCCGCCACCACCTTGGGGATTAAAAATGGTATCTCACAGACATGTGTGATTGTAAAATCCTTATATATGTGTAGCCATGCAAATGAAACAGTACCTAACTCTTTAGGTGAATATCTGATCCTCCCTTTGGATGGATATGGATATTGGATCCTTTCTGAAACTTGTAGCTGAAAGGGTATGTAATCCAGAAAAAAGGGTATAATGGGTAAAGAAGCCATGCAATGCAGGCTTTTTGATTCCAAAAATATATATGAGACATAATATATAATATAATTTATAGAATAAGGTAGTGTCAGAACATGATTGTATAGATATATAATGTGTAAATGGCAGCCACCAACTTTTGTCATATCAAAATTAGCCATGTAATTCACAATCTTAGAATGTAATCAACTTCTGCAGCTCTGTGTATATGTAATGTTGTATTATGTGTCTGTCAAATCATCACACTTTGTATTTCAAACAGGAAAACATTCAACAATCATGCTACTTTAATTTTGTTCATACACACTTTACTCTAATTTTGTATAATGGGATTGGGACTGTTTTTTTTTTCTTCTTTTTGTCACATTTGTTTATGAAATGTTAGAATCATATATGGTATTGAAAATAATTGGATTTGTGTAGCTTCTAAGTTTATGTTGTACGTTGAGGTTTGATTAACAAAGTTTGAAATTTAAATATATATCTGAACCTATTATCAGATTTATTTGGTATTCCGTAATTGGGATAAAACCATCGCGAAAATTGAAAGTTTTGATAATTCAAATGGGACCTTTGCTTTTTTTTTTTTTAATTAATATTATATTTTTAGTACAACTTTTAATTAAATTTAAGCAATGGTTAGTTTGTGTCATTGACGCATTATTCAAATTTTAATCTAAAATGAAATCCGTACCAGAAAATAAAAAGAAAAAAGAAAAAAATCGTTCCGTACCAAAAAAGGAGAAAAAAAGAAAAAAGAAACCCTAGCGGATTCTTTCCACTTTCTTCAGCCGCCTCGCTTCGCTCCGTCTCTGTTCTGTGTTCTCTGCTTCTTCTTTGATTTTGTTTCGGATGTTCGTTTTTGGCTCTGTAATCATACCATAAACTCCACTGTAATTCCTCTTTAATTTGTTTTTTCATATGAGCTTCCAATTGGATCGAAAGCGAAAGCGAAAGCAAAGCATCGAATCGAAATGGGCCAAAGACGACGTATGGTATAAATTATGAAATAGGTATGGAATTTTTTCAGAATGTTTTTCCAAATTACGCATTAGATTTTGAGAACGTTGGGATTGATGAGAAATCGTTTGGAGCCCGAGCCTCCTCTTTTCCAAAATCAGTTTGTTACTGTCCCAGAATTTTAATTTGAATCGGAAATCGAACTGAGTTTCTGTTCGATTTTGACTGTGCTGGTGCAGGTAGATGAATCGATCCAGTTCGAAGTAATCCAATTGCTTTTTAGAAGTTTTGTTTGATTTCTCCCCATTTTTTGTACGTTTTTCACATGAATTCTTTAAGTTTAGCCCATTTTCATAAACGAAAACGAATTTTAAAAAACTAAACCAAGAAACTTCTCGTGTTCTTGACGTCGATTTCTCAAATTACAGGTAAAGTAAAACCTCTTCCTATTTTCAGAAATTCCAGCTTCATCAGCACATGCACGATCTTCCTTTTTTTGAGAAGTTCTAGGAATTTTTTTTTTTTTTTTTTTTAGTGAAGAATCCATTTGAGAATAAAAAGGTTGATGTAATCATGAAAGTAACTCTTAAATTTAAGAGTGCCATAGTTTTAATGACATATTTAGACATTTTTTAAATTAATTGATTTATTAGATATAAAATTGAATCGATAGGATCCTAAATTTTTTTGTATGTCCGAAAAATTTTAAAATGTGTAAAAGTTCAAAAACTTAAGATTTTTTTTTTCAATTTAAGAATCTATAAGATGTATATATTTTTAAAAATTTAAAGATTTATTAGATACGACCAACTAAACTTTTAATTAGTACAAATTCTTCCTCCTCGAAGGAAAAGTGAGTCTTTTTTTAATTGGCAATGAATACGTGTTTGAGGTTCAATAGATTTGTTTTTCATAACTATTTTTAGATTCTGTGACCTGAAAAATTCTAATTGTAGGATTACATTGAAAAAAAAATAAAAAGTTTGATAAAATATATTATTTAATATTATGAATTTATTTCATTTTTTAATTAAAAACATGTAAATTATAATATACTATAAAATAATAATTGTACCAAATTTATAAAAAAATGTTAATAAATAAATTAATAATATTTTAAAACAAACTAAATATTTAGTGGGTAACTAACTATTAAAAATTTACAAAATATATTAATTATTTTAAATTGAAATTGAAATTTCAAATATGTACAAATTATATATCAAAAAACATCTCTGATCCAACATAACTCCAGTGACAATGAAGGGATGGAAATTGTCATAATTTAAATTGTAATTTAATTTTGAAAATGATGTGAGTTTTGTTTGGGTAGATATTAGAATTTCCCTCAATAAGAAGATAAATGTGAACCCATTTATTTGTATGGCATTATTTGTTGGATTACATAAAAAAACAAATGGAGAATGACAGGTGTCACAACTCAACCAATATTGACCTTTAATTTTATTTCCTATTGTCAAGCTATTTTGTCCCGCTTCAATTTCATTTAAAATTTCAACATCCTTTTAACTCAACTTTATAATTGCATTTAATTCAAATTTAACATATTTATTTAATATAACAAGACCAACCAACCCAGCTCATTTACTTATCAATAGTAAATAATTTTTCACCATTGTTACCATTTCATTAAAAATGAAGGTACATCATGCAGTAATAATTTTGAAGAGAGGAAAATTGATATTGTCGGTGGGTAACTGAACAATCCAATCCACAGTAATTAAATTGAAAATTAATGAACCATTTACTCCATTTAACTACGTACTTGGAAAGCACCCCATATTGCCACCTTATTTGGAGAAATTTGTCTCAATCTTTGATATATTTGACAAACCACATTATGATTTCATATTTAAATAATACCAAATTAAATGCAATTCATATCACCGTCAAAAATGAAAAGAAATATGCTAATTGTCAATCTCAGACATATAAAAATATTCATGAACTGAACTAAAAAAATATAGACGTGAAGATTCCGATTCATAGACGTTTAATTGGAGATATATGTCTTGATTAATTATATTATACTTAACATATTTAAAAGTTAACACGATAAAGACTTAGAAAACTTTTATTCTCACGTCATGAAATTGTTTGTTTTCAACTTTTAGAAATAAACTCGAATTTTTGTTAAATAGTTAATAAAACGTTTCACGAGAGGAACGTGATACTAAATTATTACATACTTAAATTTGGGACTAAATTATTACCAATTTGAGAGTACATCGATTAAATTATTAAGGACTAAATTGCTACTTTGGATACGAACGAAAAACGTTTTTTTTTTTACTGGGAAGAAATATGACATTAGAACTAAAATTGTTTACCAAAGCAAATGCATCTTGAATTATTGAATATGACCAAATAATTGCTGGTTCAACGCCATTGTAAGAGCAGAGTGTTAGGTGGAAAGAGTCAAATCACTTATCTTGCAACCAAAAAAAGAAAAAGAAAGAAAAAAAAAACAAAGACAAAGGCAGGCCTCGTGTGAAATAATGCAAAGAATTCATATTACCAATCTTCCCCCCAAAAAAGGAATGAATGAATGGGGCACCACATTTTGTTGAAGACTTGGGTCCCAAAAATTAATGTCCACCACGTCTAGCTAGTAACAGCTCCTGCCGTCTTTGACATCCAAACAATAAAAAAACAACCTTAGTTTTTAATGCCCAAAATGTTGGACTTCAATTCCACTCCATTAAAGTCAATGGATTTATGTTGCTTCGTTTTGCCACTAACTTTAAAGCTACATAAATGGGTGGGGGAAAAAATAGTGGGTGTTGAGTTTCAGAGGGTGAGAGTGAGGATTTTCATGGCTGGCTTTTGGGTGTGTTCTGGACCCAACAAGAAGAATAAGAAGAAGAAGAAGAAGAAGAATGAGCTGTTGAGAAGTGGGGAAGAAGAGTTGAGCTCCAACAGCTCAAAATCTGTGTCTGAAAATGGAAACAGAGTAATGGTGGTTGTGGATTGGAGCATTGAGGCTCAGGGGGCTCTCCAATGGACTCTTTCTCATGCCCTTCACACCCATGACACCATTCTTCTTCTTCATGTTCTCAAGACTTCCAACAAACAAGGTCACAAATTTCATAGATATGCCTCTGTTTTTGCTCGCTGTTAAATAAATGTTTTAGTCCTCCATGTTTGAATAATCAAGTGGATTGAGATGGAGGAGATTGTTTTTGTTCTTTTTGCAGGTTTTGGGTTTAATAATAAGGTGGATTACATAAAGGCCTATGAGCTCCTCTTTTCTATGAGGAATATGTGCCTAAAGAGAAGGCCTGAGGTAAGTTCATGTTGATACTACGTTACGCTTTTCGTGCGGGTCGGAACTTACCCGACAAGAAATTCCGTTATCTTAGGGCCTTTATAGTTACACATACCATATATGTATAGAAATCCATGTACATACGTACAACTCAATTGCTTTGAATAGGTGCAAGTAGAGATAGCATTGCTGGAAGGGAAGGAAAGAGGTCCAGTAATTGTGGAAGAGGCAAAGAAGCATAAACTGTCCCTTTTGGTACTTGGTCAAAGAAAGAGGCCGATCCTACGACGTCTGTTGAACAGATGGGCAACCAGAAGCGATCGGAGAGGGAGGAAGAAGAAGAAAACAACTTGTCGAGGGACGGTAGAATATTGCATTCAGAACTCATCTTGCTTGACAATTGCAGTGAGGAAGAAGAGCAGACAGATTGGAGGATATTTGATCACAACCAAACGTCACAGGAACTTCTGGCTCTTGGCTTGATTCTCTTTTCTTTCCCCTTTTTCTGTAACATATTCTCTCATCTTTTATCTTTTAGGGTTAAAAAGTGGATATCATATTCAGTCCTTCAAACTTGGACTTGCTATACTATAGAGTGATTGAAACTGTTGCTTGCATTTATAGGTAAAGTTGGGATTTTCTCACATCAATCAGATACAAAAGGTTTTGAAATTGTAGCTTTTGTCCCGCAGAGAGTTATAGCAAGATCCACCTCTAAAATTCTGTTGTTCAAGCATATTTTTAAACAAAATTCGATAACTGAGGTCGAGGTAGATTATCATCGGACCCCCTTTTAATGGAACGACAGATACAGAATAATTCATTAAGCTAAGATTATCTACCAACCAAGATATAAAATGGAACAGAAACTTGTTAAGTGTGTCCTTCAATCTGTATTTTCAACTTGAATTCATCAATTACATAAAAAACCAACAAATGTAGATGAACGTATTTGGATTATACACAGACAATGCCTTCAATTCCGGAAGGACACTTTTCCAGTGGATCAACATCTTCTCTTCTCCCTTTTTCAAGTCTGCAATGCTTAATGTTGAGGTTGAACCAGGAAACAATAGAAGCTATATATCTCCATTTTCAGACTTTCAGTCATTTTGAGGCTATTTGATGTGGCCCAATGGAGTAACCATGTCTACATGCAATTTCGTGCAGTTGATCATAACCAGCAAGAACCCCAGCCCCTGCAACACCAACAAGCATATTGGCAGTTACTCCTCGAAAAAGAGCGGTAATACCCTCAACGCGAATGATCTCTGAAAATGCATGGAAAGGACTACGGTACTTCAGGGTTTGTCCAGAGGTAAGCATCATTCTCCGTCGCAAAGTGTCGAAAGGATAAGCACATACCCCAGAAAAGGTTGTGATACTCCACCCCAATAAGAAACTAGCAAAAAAACTTCCCTGCATATAACATTAAACTATACAGAATTTCAAGCCATTTGAAAGAGAGGTATAAAATAGGCGAGAAAAGAAATTGAAGATATATCTAGGAGTTGTATATCATCCATGCTTATGACAATCAGAGATGGTATTTCTCCAAGAATCAGGTCCCAAGCCAATCATTTGTGTACTGACAATTATGAAATGTAAATGAACGTAATTGGTTTATGGATATTGTTGAAAGTTATATGACGTAATTTCCATATCTAGTATCAGAACTGCTATAAGCATGAGACCAGAATCTTCTGGTTAAAGGTTTGAGATACAAGTTAATTGTCTACCTAGAAGAATATAGACCGAAATTAATTGATGTTCTAAATAGAATAGATGCTTACCTCAAAGTGCCCAACCAAAACAAGTGGCTTTAAAGTGTCGTAAATCCCAAAATACAATCCCCTGTACAAAGTGATTCCCATGATTGAAACACTGAATCCTCGGTAAAGTCCAACAATTCCATCACTCGAAAAGGTTTTTCTGTAGACATCCAGAAGCCCTTTAAACTGGCGCTGACCGTTACCGCCACAATCCTTTGCATCTGTGGCTAGTCGAGTGCGTGCATAATCCAAATGATACAGAAACAAAGATGTAGTTGCTCCTGCAGCACTTCCTGAAGCAACATTTCCAGCAAACCACTTGACGTATCCATCATTCTCCTTTGAGCGCCCAAATTTTGTTTTGAAGTAACCTTTGAACGCAAAGTTGAAAGCCTATGGGCAATTCAAATTCTCTTCTGTAAAAGCATTTGGAGATAGTAACATAAATTTAAACCTCTGGTTATCTAAAAAACATATCAACTAAGCGTTTAAACATAGATTCAACTAATTCTCAACCAGTTCGTGAGAATCTTGAACATTCTCCAAACTGCCATCAATTAGAATGCATCATATCTATGAGTATAGTTCTGCAACCTACTTACTAAACCTTCATAATAGGAGCTATGATGTTGATTTAGTTCCTCAATCAGTGCTCTGAAATTCATGAATTTATCCAAATGCTAATTTAGTTAATGATGAAAATAAAAAGTACCTGGGTAGGGAAATATCGTATAACGTTAGCCTGATTTCCCCTCCAAAGGGACAAGGGACCTTCTTCTCTCAAAACCCTTGTGAAACAGTCATGGATTCCGAGATATGGGTTCCTAAGGTGTCCTCTCTTTATCATCTCCCCTTGATTCTGCAACAAAAGCTTCACCCTCTCGATTGGCGCCGCTGCACTTTTCGCCACAATCGCAGCGACCCCACCCATCACGAAATCCGCCGAAAATTTCTCAGATTTTGAGGCCATTGCTCTCTCCTTGTCTCGCTGCACAAGTAATCGCGATAACACATTTACTCCCAATACGGAAAAGAGGAAACAATCCATAATCCAAATTCCAAAATCCATATAACAGTTTATTTCTATGGAAAAAAAAAAGAAACAGATATGAACCATAAGACTAACAATTGGAGAGGAGGCTGAGCCTGCGCCTGGAGGATTCAACTTTTTTAATTAACAATTTGATTCCATTTCGTGTGTTCTTCCTCCCACGGCGCGATGAAATCTCTGGCAAAAAATATACAGTTTCCTTTGCAAAAAAACAAAAAGTCTAAATTTTTTATATATATAGTGAGGAGGAGAGGAGTATCGTTCACAATTTTTTATTTTAATTAAAAAGTTATAAATTTTTATTGTCTTTCTCCCTATTTTCCTTTTCAATGCTTTATTTTGATTTACTTTTTAAAAACATGTGGTTTTATAGTCCGTTAAAAAAATAAAAAATCAAATCTCAATATCTCAAATTTGTGGTACTTAACCAAAAAAAAACTTACATGAAATCAATATATTTAAAAGAAAAGTCTCTTTTTCTCCCCAAAAGAAAAAAATTCATTTTTAATCTTTATATTTAATTCAACCGGTAGCTTGTAACATCATATAATGAAATTTCAATTTCATGAGATTTAAATTTAATTAATTGGTATAAAAAATTTGAACTCGCAACTTTTTAACTAAAAATAGTAAGTATTTTAATTAGATAAGTAAAGTAAGTTAAAAATAAATCACCTAAAATTAAATCAACAAAATACTTAAAATCAAATAATGAAATGTTAGAAAATAGATTGGATTAAAAAGTAAAAAGTAATATATATACACAATTAAAATAGTGACACAATCGATGTTAATTTCGTTCTTCTATTTTTTAATTTAAAGGATTAAAATATAATATTTAGGCGTCACTGCACTACTTTTAAGTTATAATTATTTTTTTATCAACAAATCAATGAAAAAAAAATTAATAATACTTGGTAATTGACAACCAAAATATGAGTCGGAATCCTCCACACTAAAAAAGAGTATATATATATTTCATTTTCAAAAAAAAAAAATAATAACAAAGTACATTTGTGTGGCAGTTAACAAAGTTTGCAGTGGACTTCCCCGCCGGAAGTCAAAAATAAACCAGAAAACGAAGAAACTTCCACTAATCTCCGCCTGTTTCAATCTCCTCTACGCTTCGTATTAGCTAGATTTACGCGAATATCTTTCTCCATTACTTCACAGGTATTAATTATCAATGCGCAATCTGGGCAATGTCGATAATTTCCTTTTCTCTGCGGGCAAGATTTCATATGAAGAGTCCCAAGAGTTCGAAATCAGTCGCCTCTTTTATGAAGAATTCAAAGAGTTCGAAACATTTTCCGTTTCAAATGGCGACCAATCTGGTTGTTACGCTGATCGTCGTCGTTACAATCCAGAAGAATTGGATTTCACATGAAACGATTGCAGGTCAGGGTATAACCAATTCATAGGGTTTTCCCTCTTTTTTTTTTTTTTTGTTGCTGTTGTTAATTCTGGATCAAGGCCTGAAATATAATTATACTAAATCCTGGTTTTAGATGTTCACACGTTCTGGCCACCATGTCCACAAACTTCTTACTTCATATAATTGCACGAATCTAAACCAAAGAAGAATCTACATATATAGACAGAAAAAAGTTGTTTATATGTTTGTAAATTAGCTGCATATGTTCGCTATCGGGTCTGTGGGTCCTGAATTGTTACCTTTTAGAAGAAAGCAAATCAAATCCAATGAACTTTCCGGCTTCTGTTCTACTTTACTGTTATTTTCATGTAAAGTAGATTATAATTCCTGCAAGAACACCAACGACTTATATTCCTTTTTTCTAAACATGGATATGGCGGTTAAGGCACCTATCTCTAACCAAAAGGTCATGAGTTCGAACCTCCACCCCACAATCTTGTACTCAAAAAAGAAAAAAAACATGGATATGGCTATTCATGAATGAGTTAGAGAAATAAATGCGTGGGTTTTATTTTTAAATTTTAAAATGTGTGAGTTTTCTGCAATAATTAGGAGTGTAATCTCCACAAATTTCTCCTTTTTACCATGTTTAGGAATATAACCAACTCATACCTCATTATTAGTCTTACAACAATGGAACTTCCCTCCATCTATTCTGGATTAAGTGGAGTCTGAGCCTGAAACTGTGACTCTAACAGCTAGGGTCTAAGAGGCCACGAGCCGCAATTCAACGCCTTGCATATTTCTATATTGTACAGGATCACGAACATATCTAATTGTTTGGACGGACCATCACAAGGTGTAGTATTGACTCAATCTTATGAGTTAAGAAGGAATCATTAGTTAGAATTCTAATAAACTGCGAGGGAACTGTATCTAGATCTCTTTTACGTGCATTGCTTACATTTTTTTTCCTTAATTGCAGATTAAGAATTTAACTGCACTTGTATGCATAGTTAGGAGATGATTGGTTGAAGATGTGTACTTACACCGGCCGATGAAAACTCGTACTTCTTCTTGATTTGATCAACTGCGCCTACCTTATTATCTGGATTCTAGTCAGGTTGCTCTTCCTTGGCCGAGTTTCCTGAATTTTTTTTGATGAAGCATGTACTGATTCAATTAACTCGAAGATCTAAGTTAAGTATAGTTTGGATTTGTAAAGCGTAAAGCCATAGTTGGTAGTTTAATTCTCATAGAAATAGAAGTTTCAATTTCACATTCACGTTCACACACCAAGCAGCCAATAGCCAATAGTAAATGTAGGCATAAAATGTGGAAAATATAATTCTACAGTTTCACATTCTCACACCAAGCCGCCAACAATAAATTCAGACATGCTCTCCCTTTCAAATTCAAAGGTTAGTTTCCCTCTCTCTCACACTCTTTCTCTCTCTGCAAAACTGTTTTAAAAGAGCGAAAAGGAGGAAACATTGGACGATAGAAAGAGACACAAAAATGTCCACTCCATGGACAATGACACGGCTGGTGAGATGGCAAGTCAGAGACTGGGCTTCATGCTTCTTAGCTTGCAGATTTCCTTTAGGTAAAAGTAATAGAAAATATCAGTATCTAGAATCAATCATTTTTAGCTGTCTTTGTGTGATTTTTCGTTCTGTTATGTTAATTGTGACTTGAGTTTCCTCTTATACAGATGATGAACCAGACAGATATTTCACTTCTACACCACCTCCAGTGCCAATAAGAACCATGGTTGTTGATAGAAAGAGTATTGCCTCGAGAGGTAAAGAGGATAGCAAGAAGATGTCAAGGCAGAGAAAGGGTGAGAAGGGTGAGAACAAGAGGCAGGAAAAACGCTTCTCGCCACAGACTTCTGATGCTGCTGTTGAAAACAAGATGACTGATAATCCAAACTGGCTACAATTCGAAGATGAAAACTACATTGTCTTCTGCTTCAATGATGGAGCATTTGATGTTACAAAGAATGGGAACTCAGAGGCTTCCAATCGCATTGATTTGGTTGCAGCACGTTCAAGACCAGTTAGTCGGAAGGTTAAAATATGATATTTTATTGTCTTGTCTGTGAGATGATGCTATATAAAAGCTTATAAAATCTCTCTCTAAACAGCTTGATTATGGCAAAGATGACAAATCAGTCAAAAGAAGCAGTAGTGAGAAGAAGTTAAATGGAGGCCCACCTCAAAAGGTACATAATCCAACCATTTATATATCTTTCCATGATAACAGAAGGACTGCCCACTTGAAAAATCACCATGATCACAACGGTCATGTTACTTGCTGCTTGGTGTTTTATTGTGGGTTGTAGGATGAAGAAGAACAAGTGGATAAAGAATCAGCTATGGGTGAGAGTGAGGCGATTTGTGACTGTAGGATCGTGGCAGTGTCTACTGAATCAAGTGACTCAAATCATTCAGATGTCAGCAATGGCTCCTTCGCCTTTCCTGTGTAAGGCCCTCCCCTCTCCCTTTGCCTTGCCCCCAAATAATAACATAAAGTAAAGAGAAGAATGGATAATGTTATTAGGAATTGGATTCTAATTGCAGGTTGGGATTGGAGTGGAGTGGAAGTCCTGTGCAGATGCCAAAATCAGAGGGTTTGCAGCTGAGAAAGCACAAGTCGCGGTGTGTAGGATTCCAGTGTTGTAAATTCTGAAACAGAAACTGAAATTAGGATTTTATTTGCCTCCATTTTTATTCAAAATCCCAAACCAATTCTCAAGTTGACCTTGCTAATAATTAAAGATTGTTTACGTTTTTCTTTTCTTGCTTTAATTATGGTTGAAGAAAAAGGATTCAAATAATTTACTTGAACCGTTTGGAAACCAAGAATGTTCTTTTATTTTAACATTATGAAGAGGGAGAACATACCACATTCCTGACAGTGGCCGTTGCACTTTACAATTCAGAATACTCAGAAGATACATTATTTCGTGTTAAAACGTCCTGAAATACCCAATCCATTTCATTAACCAGATATGATGACACCTGAGAACCATCTTTCTTTCTCATAGCATATATAAATGCTCATTCTCAGGGTTTTTTCCAAATTTAGATGGGGTTTGTTTCGATTGAACAAGTCTGAATTATCTAAACTACATCAGAAAATGAGAGATGTTCTCCAAACAAGACTCACCCTAGCGCACAACCAAGTGTGGCGACGTTTTCCATTAAACACAAACATGGGAAAGGTTTCATCATACATACAACATGAAACAAATGTTTCCTTTTTCATGTTCGACGAATATATTATTACGGATAAATAACTCAAGTAACCCTCTAGAGAACACCATAACATTATGTCGTAGTAACTATCAGAGAAAAATGCCAGTTGATATCAAAAGAAGCAACCGTGATCATCTAATGAACGTCTGAAAATTTTGTTCTGAAAACGAATGACTGTAGATGTGATCTTGCAGCTGCAGCAGCAGCAATGGATTCTTCATCTTGCCTTGCCTTTGCAGCAGCAACAGCAGCTACATAAGCTTCTCTTGCTTCTTCCATTTTCTGCATTTCAAGGTCGTCCAAATCATCCTGCATCAAAAAAGAAATAGTCTCAGACGTTAGAGGTCAAAAATGAAGGCAAACGAATTATTCATATGAGCATTTTCATAACGAGCTGGATTATCACATCTTGTAAGGGAACTATAAACACAGACTGCTACGAACTCATATATACAAAAGCATATCATAATGTGCTCACAATATAAGGACTGCTCTCTGGAAGATAGAATGAAAGACTATAATCTTGAACACGTTCGTCGGAATCATTCTTTGTCAAGCCTTCAAGAAAAAGCATAAAAGACGAAACATCTCCTCGTGAGGACTTTAGCTCTTCTTGAAGTTCTTCTATTTTTGTATTTGATGTCATTACCTCCCATTGTATCTTCTCCAAGGCAGCTTGCTTGTCTGCAAGCTTAATCTGCAAATGGAAAAGAATCATGCAATGATTTAAACAGTAGTTCGTAATCCATCTTTGGTACATAACCAGAATATTTACAATTGGAAAGCTGCTAGGCATCTTCTTCTGGAAATATTTTCAAGATAGTGGGATTCATCAATCAACTCATGTTACTACTGATAAATATATTTGAGCCAACAAAAACAAAATGCAATTTTTAGAACCTTTGCATCTGAAAGTTGGGAACGGATGGACTTTATCATAGAATCCTTCTCTGAATACTGGAGACTCAAAGCATCAAGTTTTGCATAAACACTGTTCATCTGGTCCTTCGACATCTCTGCTGATTTTAGAAGTTCATCCTTTTCAAGTAATTTCTTTTGCAGATCCTCCACTTGTTCTCTCAATGTATTTAATTCTTCTTTGTCCCTTTCACATACCAAAGAACTTGAGGAGAACATTGCAAAGGCATCAGCATCTGGATTATTATCAACATTATGACCTTGATCCTTGTCCCCGTGACCCTTTTTCTTCTTGTTCGGAATAGATTGGGCATTATTCCTACCTTTCTGTTCAATCTTCAAAGTAAACATAAAAGGAGCAAAAAGAACCATCAATTTATGAATGCACAGAAGAATAATTCTGCAAATGGCTAAATGGCCATGCATTGGGATTTGAAAAGTGACATTCAATTATAACGGTTAAAAGATTTACAATCGGCTATTAGCAACAGAATAGATAAAAATTAGAAAGTCAGGGTTCTGCGGTTAAATCAACAGAACACGACACAAAGAATTCAGTAAACTCTTCACAACTTGAAATCTAATCCCTTTTGTTTTCATGCCGAAAACTGGCAATACCGCACCCGATGAATTTTCTTAAAATGAGGGATAGAGTGTATACAAGAAGATCAAATTGCATAGAAGTTGAAAATACTTACTTTCTTGTGTAATGATTCTCTAGAAGGTGTCTTGGTGTAAATCATCGAACCGCGCTTTGTGAATGAACTGCTCGCTTTACGATCCTAAACCAAAATCAATAAACGTCAAAAAGAACAAAGAAAGCAAGAAGAAAGAGATGCAACGAAGCGCTTTGAATTTGACAAGAAATCACAAAAGAACATAATAGAGTTACATTCTCAACCATTACGCCTTCCTCAAAAACAGAAATATGCACTGGAAGAATCAATTTCTTTCCTAACTTTCTTCCCTTTCCTATTTCTGAAAATAAACACCTCCAGGCTTTCGGCCCCCAGTAGAATTTATACATCAACCTAAAAATAGTACGATTTCAAAATCAAATTTCCCTCGATCACGAGACTCCCGACACTACCCCCTCCCCCCTCCAGGAACCACGATACAACATTTAAACTTCAAATACTTTCCCCGCATCGGAACAAAAAGATTTCAAAAGAGAGGGAGGAATTACAATAAGAGACTGAACAAGCGGCACGATCTCGACGAGATTTTTGAAGAGTACGCGATCGACGTTGCCATTAGTAGTAGCAGCAGAAGTTGCCGAAGTTGCAATGGATGCGTCGGCGAGTGATGACTGAGTGAGGCGGCGAGTCGGGGACGAGTTGTGGTCGGCGGAAAGCCACGATTTCTGGTCCCCAAAACCAGAATTGTCTTGCAAATCGATGAAATGTTGGGGCTCAAACATGGTGGAGAAGAGGAAAATCTTGAGAAATTTACCGAAACGAAAAATCCTGTAAATACCAAAACAAGAGAGTAAAGCAAAAAAAAGGAATCCGATAGCGAGACGAGAGAGAGTCGTTGGAAACTCAGTTTTGAAAATCGTTCTCTTTCCTCCCGATGGATCAATGCAAATGAATTCGGTGTTTACTAAAATACCCCTCGAATTTCGATAAACTACAGTAATACCCTCCTGTTTTTCGTTTGAAAATGAATAAATAGTTATAGTATGGTTAGAGAGAGGAGATGTCATTTTAGAAAAGGAAAGTTTATAATTCCTTAGAAAAGGAAAGTTTAATTCTATTTTAAACTGGTAAAATGCGATTTATTCGAAGGGGGTAAAATTGGACCTTTGGAATATATAACGGCCGTCACTGTTCGAAATATAGGGGCCAGGGGGAAGAGAATTTAAAGAGTATTTGCACTAATCATGCTTTCATTAATTTACTATAACCTATGGATTAACTAAATTTTATTATAGGTTATAATAATTATTAGTAATCATTAGGTTAACTGTGTGATCTGAAAAGCAATGGACTGAACATACGAAGAAACCTACATAAAGAAATTAAAAAGTTCTGATGTTCAAGTCAATTTCGGTAGGATCGATTGTCATGGAGAAAAAACGACTTAAACGACTCTATTTATAAGTGTTGCTTTTTCGACAATTGTGTGTTGAAGGGTGATAACAATTATCTTATAAATCACAGAAAGTTGTCAGAAATACGGTGGAATGATTTTGTGATATAACTCATTTTTATTGACTGTGTATGAATTAAAGATGAACTATATTTATAGTCGAACTATGAAGCGGATGTTTTTTATGGTCGGTCCTAAGTGAGCTTTATAATCGAGCTAATTCTTATAGTCTAGCTACTTCTTATGGTCGAGCGGTATGACTGACTGAGGTACGCTTTATAAGCGAGCTTAACTCTTATGACCAAGTTGAGTTTTAAGACCGACTTAGTCTACGTATCATGATGGGTCGTTTTTATCAACTAACATTATCTTTGATTTATCCATATAAATCACTAATTTTCTCCGTCATTTTTTTAAATACTAACTACTTCGTTACGAGTTTTATATTATATTTTATATTTCTTCTGCTTTTAGTTTTAAGCTATCAAAATTGAAATCAGACATCAAATACAACAATTGATTCATATATATTTGGATTTTAGCTAAAATTAATTTCTCATGGAACCAGAAACTTCAGCCGATCAAATTTGAGTGTAGCCTTTGATTTAATTGTCGAAAGGAGTGGTTAATCCGCAGTGTTCGAACCAGGAAGCTTCATCCATTTCCATGGCGCCGCTGCAAATTTCGAGCATTCCTTCATTTTGAATTTGATCACCACCACTTGACAAATCCAACGATCCAAATCCCTCGCCAGTCCTCCCCCTTTTCTGCGCCGTCGGATCGGCAGGCCCCACCGCGATCCCCCGGCCTTGACTCTGAATCCAACCGTAGTAATCAGCTGCTACTTCTTCACTCAACTTAAACGGCGTCGTGAGATCAGATCTCGATTCATCCGACAGCGCACCGGTGGCGTTTGCGGCGCTATTCTTGGACCCAACAATTGCAGCTGGCTTCGGTTTCAATTTGGAGTTGTTGGATTTTCGGGTTGCACCGCCGACCGGAATATTGCGGAGGGTACCGCCGATGGTCCAGTAGCGGCGGCAGGTCTTGCAGAGGTGGCGTGGTTGGGAGTAATTGTAGTTATTGTAATAGCAGAATTTGGTGTCGAGAGAATGGCACCTAGGGCAGGGGCACTTCACTCTCCGGTCATCTCCACCGATTGATCCGATGTTCTGCTTCTGCGCGGCGTCCATGTCTGGAAAAATCAAAATCAGCGGCGGAATTTGGGAGGAAAATGGGAGGATTATTGTGGTGCATTTGTATATATGGAATTGGCCAGCGGAGGCATTGGTCGGCAGCGGCGGATGAGGGCGGCGGATGGAGGCGTAGGAGACGCGTGGAGAAAGGCCATGCCTTTTGTCGGCCACTAACATCATCAGACAGAGGTTTAGGGAGCGCCACGTAGGCATTGAGGGAATTGCTGAGCTGGCAATGAATGTCGGCGGTTGTGCCGTACCATGTACCCGATCGGATGCTTCGAATGTGTTCTATTTTTCTTTTTCTATTTTTTTAATTATAATTTATGAATCAGATGATCCGTGCGGGACTTGATTTGTTATTGGTGTCGAAGATCCAGTCATGTGGGCTATACTTATTTTGAAGAAACTCTTCGATTGATTTTCTTTTTAACTCTCTTAGAATTCAATTGATTATTATAATTGAGGGGAATATACGGCGTTGGTAACTATATCCAGTAAATCTACTTTATTGTGTGTTTCGTGTCGATATGGTTGAGGTACTGGCTGTTCGAATAGCTTTGTTGTTGATTCGTGATGTGGGGTTTCATCCTATCTAGATCGTGATCGACTCATTTGGATTCCAAAATGGACTTGATGATCTTTTCAGATGTGGATGTCTCCTTAACGACATCCGGTGATGCTGTATTTTATCTGATTTGATTAGTTTTTTTCTTTTCTTACTCTTCGCGAAGGAAATGGTGCAGCTCACCAGATGACATTTCACCAACATTTAAATTGTCCAGAAGATGGTCTAGTGAAAATTACTAGGATTATTATAATGATGCATATTATTTATATTGTTCCTGGTGTGCTTTTTTTTTTTATCTCAAAAGATAAATTTTTTTATTATTATAATTTATAAGTTTGTTTGGATACTTCATTTGTATAGAGCTAAATACGACAAAAATTTGAGCATTCGAAAATAGTGGATTTTAAATGTGTGAACATATCATTCACCATTTGTTTTTGAAGCTCCCAAAATTCTCAAATTGAAATGTAATAGTGGCATTTACTTATTAGGGTTTAGAATGAGAAAATGAGCATCATTCACCTCTTTCTTATTGGTAGCTTTTAAAAAAATGATTTTTTTATTCATTAGTCGAGTTGATGCACAGATTTGACCTATCAAAATTATTAAATTTGTATCACTCCTCTAAAATAAAAAAGGATTCGACAAAACCTGCAAAGTAGAAATATTATTATACATTAGATCGATACTAGCCACACATGCTCTGATGCTTAAGTCGAGTTTACGTGAAGCACGAAAAAAAATAAGTTTTGTAGCGTACCTTGACTACGAGTATTTTATCCTTTATTTATAGAAGGAAAAATATAGGGTCATATTCTCCGAACCAAATGGTTAATATCACACCTCCTTTTGAATTTCTTAGATGATGGGAATTCATTGTTCCTAGGGACAATTTGAATTTCTTAGATAAGGACATTTCAAATTACTTAGGTGGAGGGAATTTAAATTCGAGAACGATTACTTTTCCTACCCATAATAGTGGCCCCACCCTCAAATAGAAGTTTGTGAGTACAAATATATATTTTGAGAGTATTAATGACCATTTGGTTTGGTTTGGTTAACTAGTTAAGTGATCTATTAGATTTTTAATCGACTCAACTCTTTTCCTTACTTTGGCCAAACTCATTAGGTTCCTTAATTGGTTCGTTAGGTGGCAATTAGTCTGTTGGGCTCATAATTAATTAGTTTGGTTCTCTGGCCTACTTACAATTATGATAGCCTTGGAGATCCTTGACTCGGTAGATCACAATTAAGTTTGACAGACTCATGATCAGTTTGGCTCTCTAGCATGCTTACAATAATTATGATACCTTTGGAGATCCTGAATTGGTTTATGAGCTACAATTAGGTATATTGGACTTATAATTGGCTCGAGTCTTTCACCTACTACAATTACGATACCGTCAAAGTTTCCTAATTGCCTTGGTGTGGTACAATTAAGTTTAATGGGCTCGTTAATCATCTCGAATTTTTTCCCTGCAATTACGTCCTTGGAGTTCCTTAATTGGCCTATCCTTAAGTAGCTGCAACCAAGTCCTCTTCTAGGTTTCTTAGTTAGTTAAAATTCTTTGTTTTGTTACTACTTACCTGGACAATTCTTGGTCGGTCATTTTTGGTCTATTATTATTGGTTGGTCATTTATGGTTGGCCATTTCTAATATTCTTGGTCGACAATTCCTGGTTCGCCATTCTTACTCTGTCATTTGTATTACTAAATTTTATCCAAAACAATAGCCCCACTCTCAAATATGAGTTGATAAGCTTGCTTCAAACTTAAAGGTTTCTATTTTCTGACTCATTGATTTCTTAATTGGTACAATGGGCTTTTAATCAAGTCTCTTGGGTTTATTTACTAGTTCGGCTTGTTTGCCTACTTTCATTGTTAGTACCTTTAATTTTGGTTTATTAATCGGCTCGACTTGTTTACCTACTTTTAGTTTTAATACTATTTGGTTTATTAACCGACTCAAACTCATTTGTCTATTTTCAGTAAGTTTCTTGATTAGCCATGATGAATTATTACTATTTACCAGACCTCCACTCTCTTGATGAAATTTGTTGAGTTGATGGTCATCACGTGACTGTCAATTTCTATCTTGAAAGTAGTAAGATTTTCGTGTTAGGTGTAGTCTTTCTAAATCAGCAAGTCATTCCATTTGATGTAATTTTTCGTAGTTGTTTTCCTCAAGAGTTAATCGAAGGTGAGAATGTGTTGGTCATACGATTTTAGCTTGGTGAAGTTCTTTGGTTTTGTGTTGAGATATCCAATTCGTAAAATGTTATGATTCTTCAAATCTTCACAGAGTCTTATAATGCTTTTTGAGTGATGGTGGACTCTGAGTGGCTGCTCTACTTAAGAGCGGCTCAACCAATAAAATTTTTGCACGACCAAGTCCTTATTAAGTTTACATGGTTTGCTTTATTTGTAGAACCCTAACACAACCAAGTCCTTATAAGATTTTCTTGGTCGATTCAATCTACAGGACTCTGACGTGACTATCGAACATTGGTGTTACTTTTAAGGAACATGGTTCTCGGCTTTTTTCTCGTTCATGACCTTGGCCTCGTTCTCGATATCAACCCGCTCTTAACCTCGAGATAGTTCTTGCTTCTGTTTCGCGGTGAATATTGTTGTTGCATCGAGATAGATTGTTTCTTCCTCTAAGGAAATTAATGAAATTTTTTCTCTTCTCAGATCCCAACTTCTTTTCGATGTTAACTTGTCAATCTTCGGATGTAAGTGGTATGGACTCCAAATCTTAGTCAGTTTTTCTTCTTTAGTCTTTCATACCTCCAAAGCTGGATGTCTCTATGCAGCCGGGGAACCTTTTTCCTACCCATAACAAATCTACGCGAAATTAATTAGAGAATAGAAATTCCTTAAAATAAGAAATCATTTTATGTTTCCTAAATTCATAGGTCGGAGAAAAAATACAAAATAACTAAATATATGTTCCAATCTCTAATATTGGTCGGTAGTTTTTTCAATATAGTCTTTGTTATTTAAAGAGTTTCAATTTAGTCATTTATATTTTAACATTTCTTTATTTAGTCCGTCACTATTGGTGAAGGTTAAATTTGGCTAAGGTTAACTTAGCTAACCTAATAGGTATTGACTTGAAATTTCTACCCCTTTTTAAAAAATTTGGAGGAAGCCAATTCACTAAATATTATGCGATTTAAACTTTTCATCACCTCCTTTTAACATTTACCAGAGACTAAACTTTAAAACGTTAAATACATAAGAGATTAAATTGAAACTTTTGAAACAATAAAGATTAAATTGAAAAAACACCTAAAAATTAGGGACTAAAACATATATTTAACCCTTTTTTTTTTAAATTTCACTTCCGAACTATTTTTTAGCTAACACAATATTAGAATTTCAATTTAAATTCTACAATTTTCCATTTATAGATGTTTCTATTCATTTCCATCCCCACTTTAATAAATGTGTCTTACTTAATTTGAATTAAAATAAATGACATTTATCTCTTTGAACTTTAGCAATATGCTTCACTCGCAAAAAACAATAATAATAATAATAATAATAATAAATATATATAAGAAAAATCTCTTTTGAGCTAAAGGGCAATACTAGAAGTACAAATAATATCTCCACACATCAATCTTAGCTTTAATTTCCGAACTTTTCCATACTGCAAATAATATTAAACATTGGTCTTCATTTAATCGTAGCTATATGATTCTTTTCAAATATTGTCCACCAATCACATAAGAAATATTCCTGATTCATTACAGATTAATTAATATTTATGAACGAATCTCAACCGTTCGTTTTAACAAATATTAAATGGAGTACCAAGAATTAGCCATAAAAAATTAAAGTCTCCCCAGCTAATTTGCTAATTTATAAGTTTAATTAAAGTGGTCCAAAGAATATTATGCTTTACACCACAACACTTATGAAATTAAAGTCTCCTATCAAATATTTTTGTTTACTTTCAATTTATAAGATTGTGTTTGCATTCTTGAAGTAAAAAAAAAAAAAAAAAAAGATTATGTTTGCATTCTTGTTATAAAATTAACAACTACATTAATTTTTTTTTTTTAAAAAAAAGAAGTTGTAATTGAAATTACAAAAGAATAATAAAAAATGAGGAAACAAAATGATCCTCGTGACAGTAAGATGTTTCTTTAAATATAATATCTGCAGTCAAAATCTTGAAAATGATATCACGGGTTCAGGACTTTGAATAAAATAATTAAATATAAGAGTACAAATAATATTCATAGATTAAAAATGGAAGAATATAATATAATATATTCATCAACAAATTTAATTATTTAAAATTAGTTCTTTCATTTCTCGATTTTTCTCCCTTTTAATAATAAAAAATATATATAATTGCATTATTTCAACCCCTGCCAATAATAGAAGAATGATAAAATAATATTTTTATTTTATATTTCATAATAAAAAAATTATTTTTGTTATTTAAAAAATATCTATACATGTCAAATTCAGTTCCTACGCTATATATTTTGAATTTCCATGCTTTTAGATATTCACACTAAATTTTTGGAATTATTTGTAATTAAAAAAAATTATTAAGCTACATCATAAATTTAAGTAGTCAGGCTGATCTACTAACTCACGTAAGTAATCTCCCAAATTTAATCCGGCCAACTAACCAAAATTCAATGACAAAAATTCTAAAAGACTCAAAGTTATTTTATGAATTTTATAAAATATTTAGTATGCAGATTAAATGCTATATTTAATAGGTCTTAAATTTTTAATTTTATATCTAATATATCGTTAACCTACTTAATTTTTAAAATTTACGAAAAAAATAAAATTTAAAAGGTAAGAGATTTATTAACTACACAATTGAAAGTTTAAAGATCTAATACATATTTTTTAAATATAATATTGAAAATTTTAGAACCATACACAATTATGAAATTTTATGAATCAAATTTATAATTTACCAAAACTTTAAATAGACAAAAATGTGAAAATTTGAAAGAAAAATGTAACCAAACACGACTTAAATGGTAGAAATGAAATATATAATTTAACATATTTTCTCCTCAAAAACAAAAATGATTTTATTTATGATAAATAAATAGTAATTTTGATAAATTAAGAAAATTTTGTAGAGTATAAATACTTCTCTCATTCTATATATGTCACGTCATAATCTTATTAAAAATGAGGTAGGGTTTATCAATATTACAAATTATTTATAGAAATAAAATGAAGAAATGAAGTAGGTAACGGTGTTACTAAAAAAAATTAAGAAAAAAAACAAAATAAATTCTGTGAGTGGCTACCATGTCAAGCTAAAAAAATATTAAAGAAAAGAAAACTCAAATCTACGGCCACCGACTGCAAAATTCAATCAGGGAAGCGTGATTTGGTGAAATTATCGCGAGTTGTCGGCGTATGTCGTCAGATTGGATCTTATCGGCGATTATTTCACCACCCCAGACCCACGGCCACGCGAGATTTCTTTTAAGCCGTGTTCTCGAAGTAACACGTGGAAGAATGTCAGTGGACAGTGTTGGATGACCGTGACAGTGCGGTGACCTGCATGGGTCCTAGTTGAGCCCGAGCCCGAGCCCACGGCCGAAAAGCCCAGACCCGACTCCATCCATCCATCCACCCACCGGTGCGTCTCTTTTTCTCTCTCTCTCCCTCCGATTCCTATATATTCTCAACAGCGCCCTCGGTATTCGCGGCGACGTACTGGCGATGCGAAGACGATCTTCTACCGCCGAAAAATTCTATTTGTAGAATCATCGTTTTACAATTTCGAATTTGAATTTCCAAGAATCTCTGGAGGATGTTGTTAATGTTTTTTCGTTTCTTTGAGGGGACTGATTTCGGGGGGTCAACAACGGAGATTTCGGTAATGTAGGTTGCGGAAGGAAGGAAGGAAGGAATGAAGGAAGTATAGTTTGTGGATGTATTTTGAATTTCAACATATTTTTTTCTGTTGTTTCGAAGGAAGAATTGGTGCTGAAGGTTCGTTTTCTCAGAGGTCCGGGATTTTTGTTTTAGTTGCTATCTTGTTTTGATCTGGTTTCCCCAACCGTATCTGCGCGTTATGAATCTTGGAGATTCGGGGATTAGCTTACTAGACGGCCTGCACTTTCGTTCTGTTTTAACTTATTCGCAATATATATAATTCAGTTTTGGCTGTATTTGTTAGTTTTTTACGTTTCTGATCCGGCATTCAACGAATACGGAACAGATCGAGTTTAGGGGGAGGGGTCTCTTCTTGATTTCCTGATATTAGTATATAATACATAGATCAGGAGGGGAGGGGAGGGGGGTTCACTTTGTCGATTTCTTGACTTAATGCACGGCCAAGAGGAACAGAAATGTGCAAGATAGAGGGAAGTCGGAGGAAGCTTAGTGACTCTACGGTGATGGAATTGAAAGCGCTAGGAGAGAGCAAAGTCGATAAAGTAAAGATCTCGACGGTTTCATCTGGGTCCAGAGTTCGGCCGTGGTTAATCCGTTTAACCACCACCGTTTTGCTCTGGACTTGCATCGTCCAATTGATTTCGCTACGGGAGGTGTGGGGGCCTGGAGTCTTGAAAGGATGGCCCTCTTGTTTTTCCCAGGAATCGGCGGCCGCTGCTGTGTTAGGAATTCAGGAGAAAACCCTTTCAGTTCCGCCCAAAATAGTACTTCCTCCGAAAAGTGAGTTTTCTTAATTTTATACTTTCAAGTTTTGATTTCAATTGTTGTTAGTGAAACACTGCCTAACTGGTCAGATATGATGAGCTGTGCTTTCTAGAACTGTTTTTCGTTCTTGGAATTGGAAATTTCTGAAAATGATGTAGATACCATTTTCTTATCTGCCTGTCTTTTTGGAGGTGTATTGAAATTGATTTTGTTGCTTGGCAATTTCCCCTTTTCATTCTTAAGTTAGCGGAGGAATCGTGTGAAATTTTCCATTTCATTTTTGGAAACACAGAAGGGTTATTGTCAATTTTATTTTAACTATTTCCGAAACTTAAGTTTTTACTTACAATTAAAGGGAAATTTGCTGCTATTCTTATCTGTGAAATTTGATTCGCTCCCTCAGGATATTACAAGAACAATGGCTACTTGATGGTGTCGTGCAATGGGGGGCTCAACCAAATGAGAGGAGCGGTGGGTGGTAGTCGATGTGCATACTGCATTTCTTACAATCTCTATACTCAAATAACCCTACTTTGACTCCCCCTTTCCCTTCTCTGTATGTTGTGCAGATATGTGACATGGTTGCTATCGCAAGATATTTGAATGTCACCCTTATAGTACCCGAATTGGATAAAACCTCATTCTGGGCTGATCCCAGGTGCGTTATTTTTCATTCCTTTTCATTCATCTCGGGCTGGACGAAACTTCATATGGTTGAATTGCAAAAACCTTAAACGTTTCAGTGAATTTCAAGATATATTTGATGTGGAACATTTCATTGGATCATTGAGAGATCAAGTACGCATCATAAGAGAGTTGCCTATGGGGCTCAAGAAGAGATTTAAACAACGGAAGATTTACTCTATGCCACCTATTAGTTGGTCTGACATTTCATACTATCACAATCAGGTTAGTTTTCTTTATGTTCATGTAGATACCTTTGTACCTATCATATCAATGTTATTTCCAAACATATGAAGAACTCCCTAATTTTATTTGTTCTGTCTTTCTTACACAATTTTGAAAACTATTTGCCCCCTTTTTTTGTTTTCCAATTATAGATTCTTCCCCTGATTCAGAAGCACAAAGTTTTACATCTGAACCGAACTGATGCCCGACTTGCCAACAATGCCCAACCAAAGGAGTTACAGAAGCTGAGATGTCGAGTAAACTATAGTGCTCTGAGATTCACCTCAGAGATAGAGCAGTTAGGAAGAAGGGTTGTCAAGCTCCTTAGACAAAATGGCCCTTTCCTAGTGCTTCATCTTAGGTATGAGATGGATATGTTGGCTTTTTCAGGCTGTACTCAAGGTTGTAACAGTGAAGAAGTAGAAGAATTGACAAGAATGAGGTGACGTTTACGTTTTTATTTTTCAGTTTTTGGTATTGGGCTATTTGCAAACTCTTTTGCATTCTCATTCAAACTCACTTTATCCATGCAGATATGCATATCCATGGTGGAAAGAGAAAGTAATAGACTCTGACCTGAAAAGGAAAGATGGGCTGTGTCCGTTGACCCCAGAGGAAACTGCACTTACCCTGAGGGCTCTGGGCGTTGATTCTAATTTTCAGATTTATATTGCAGCTGGTGAAATCTATGGAGGACACAGGAGACTGGAGAGTCTTGCAAAGGCATATCCAAAACTGGTCTGTAGATTAGTTACGCACCAGTTTTTGTGTTCCATTATCATATGTTTTCTTGTCCTTACAAGTTGCCTCTGCTTTTGTTGAAATAGGTCAAGAAAGAGACACTGCTAAAACCTTCTGACCTCAGGTTCTTTCAGAATCACTCATCCCAGATGGCTGCATTAGATTACCTTGTCTCGTTGGAAAGTGATATATTCATTCCTACATATGATGGGAATATGGCTAAAGTTGTTGAAGGTCATCGCAGGTACTATATGATGCGACTTACATTTATTTACTGCACATGAAGAACTCCTTATGAGGAGATGATATTCAGCTAAACTTATCGAAATTTAGTATCTACCTATTGTGACTCTGCTGATTTTTAGGTGTCAAAGTATGTAATTACTGATATGTGACTTCTTATGTGTTGTGATGTCCTAGATTTCTTGGGTTTAAGAAGACCATACTGTTGGACAGAAAGATACTTGTTGATTTGATAGATCAATACAACAGTGGAAAGTTAAGCTGGGACGAGTTCTCTTCGGCTGTAAAAGAAGCCCACACAGACCGCATGGGGAAACCAGCAAAAAGGCTGGTGATCCAAGACAAACCTAAAGAAGAGGATTATTTCTATGCCAACCCTGAAGAATGTTTGCCACCGTCGGAGGAACAAGATGGGTTCATTTCCACTCCAGTGCTGAAGAGACTAATGTGAGTTTTGTATGTAGGGATTGTGACATTTCGGTACATGGAGAATTGAACTGATGGGATTAATCAAAGATTATCGATGTCAAGAACTTTGTATCTAGAAAAGCCCTGAGTACATAAGAAGCCAGTTGGAGGACGTTATTTTGTTCGACATATGGAAACTATTGTGCAACATGGTCGTATATAACCAGCTACCTTGCTGTTACAAGATGAGAGCAGTAGATCAAATTGCATAGGCAGCCATTGTTGTACACAGAGATGAATTGGTATGAATCGCACAACCTCTTTTTTTTTTTTTTTCTTTTTCCTTCTTCTCATAGTTCATTGCCTCACTCCCAGTGTTAGCCTCAGTCTTCATATTAGTTAGGAGKGGAGCTATAGGGAGTGAAAATTTGTTTATTTTTACCCCTTTCCCAATAAGCACAGGTAGTTTCATATTTATGTATTTAGGAAAGGTTAGATCACTTTTCCTTCCACCCCCACCCACCCTCTGATCTCCACTTTGCCTATCAAAAGACAATAGGCAATCAGATTCATTGATTTTTATGATTATTTTCATTTGATTCCGGATCATCTTCATTATCCTGTTCAATTGCTTTTTTGGTAGCTAAGGTCCAAATTTGTGCTGATTGCCATTTGTCTGGTGAAATCAAATTAAATGATGCAGCAGCATATCAAATTATAAGTTTAGAAAGAATTCAAAGTGTGAACTGAATTAAAAATATTGAAAGGGGTTTGCAGATTTGTAGGAGATATTTCATTTTGTAAATGGAAGATAATGGGGGGAGGAATCATGAATGCGCATGGCCATGGAAGCTGGCTGGCAATTCTGGTAACGTGTGAAACAAGGGGTTGAATTTGAATTCTAATTGTCTGAGATTCGAAGAGTAGACAAGAAGTGGGTGTCCATACAATATTTCTCTTCTCATAATTACTCATAATTCCAATGATTTCTGGGAGATTAGAAATACTCAACTTTGAATTTTGTTATAGAAATACTCAACCTTTTTTTTTTTTTTTTTCGTGTGTGNTTTTCGTGTGTGTGTGTGTGTGGTTTGAACATAGAAATAGCGTGGACATCCCGAAAAGGGGGAGATAATGGAGTCGTGCCAGCAAAGTAAACATAATTATTTTCTTATGATTCTTTTTACCTCACTCCCTCCTATTAAAATATCATTTAAATTTATTATATTCTATTCCAGAATAAAATTTAAAATATATATATCAAATTCGTACTAGTTGACTTTGTGATTTGTTGGCAAGGAATTTCAATATAATTTTTTCTAATGATAAGTCAATTTGAGCGTTTACTGTTGAGAAACTTACAAAAATAGCAAAATGGAAGTATCATTTACGTTTGATATTTTCAAATTTACAAAGTTAAAAACTAAAAAGCCATATTTGAAAGAGATAACAATACAATTAGAAAAACTCTAATATTTAGAGATTTGTCAAAAATAGAACTCATTTATGATGGGCCCACTTGAAAATTATCAAATTACAAATATTGAACATTTGTGAAATAGTTCATAGTATTGACAATTTCTGTATTTGAAAAACCACACAATGTGTTGCTTTTGTTTTGTACCGTAAAAATAATGACATTATTTTTAATTACAGTTGGGTAGTAATTTTTCATTTCGCTTAACACAAGTAGAGAATCAAATTAATTCACAACATTTTCGGTTTAGTTGAGTTTTTTGAATACAAAAAGTGTAGAAAAAGATTTTGAGAAGAGAAAGAATAGACGTCTAAAAGAAACTATTAGCAGAGTATCAGTGCTTGGTTCAAGAGCAAACTACACACGTTTTGTTATTGATTCATTCCTAAAAATAAACAAGAAAAACGAGCAATGAGACCAATTTTACATCGAATGAAAGTCTTTACATGATAAAAAAGCCTCTAAATATTTTAGGGAAGCCCAACTTCCAAGCAGGCTACAGCTTCACCAGATGGGGAATGCCCAAAAAAGAAAAATCAAAACTAGCTACAATACTCACATTCATGGGGAAAAGTGGCGATTCCCAATAATACGAAAATAAACTACCCTAATGTACAATCAATCTGGGTCAGATGCCATAGATTCCCATATAACTGAAAGACCATAAACCCCATGGAAGAAATGGAACGTAAAACTGAAGCGATGTAGCCCCAAAGAGCGGCTTGGTTGGTAAGGACATAGGCTCTCTTAATCATGCTGGCTTAGCGGTCTCACGTTTGAGCCTTGATTCTCCAGGGTATTGAGGAGCAAAGCTCCAAATCCCAATTATAATAAAAAAATGAAGTGATCCATGTTATAATTAAATTGAATTAATGGGAGAACACTTGTTATATCCTCTCTTTTTATGTCTTCTGCTTCTTGCTTAAGGCCTGCTCCAAGTGCTCCGTAGCTGCAACTCTGGTACGAATGGTCCCTCCATCACTTGGGCGAACAGAATCATCCTATAAACACAACAAAGAAAATTCAAGAAAAGGGGGAAAAGTTCTGCCCCAAAAAGTTGATGCAACTAGTAAACGGACGTTCATTTTATAGTGCTATGAAGAACTGGTTTACCACAATAGCAGACGTAGGGACAGTTTCTCTATAATTGGTCCTCTTTCCAAGTTCTATCTGTACGGAGATGCTGGCCTGAGACATATCCACTCCAGAACTCTGTAACGCTTGTGTGAGAATATTCAACAACCTGCTCATCAACAAACCAAATCTAATGTCGCTTAATTGACAAATCAAAGCTCTAATTAAGTGTCAGTCTTGATGGTCACTAAATTTATTATTGATCGGTTGAAAAAAAATGATATATCAGAATATACATATTAAACAAGCAGATATAATAAGAATATACTCACCCTTGAGAATAGGCACTTGAGATGCTAATTCTACCACCTTCAACACTCTGCTCAGGTTTTTTCAGCTTGTTACCAACAGCAGCAACGTCGTTAGAACATGATCTCATCTCACATGATGCTGGTTGCGCTTCACATGGTTTGTTGTCTGAATCATATGCCAATTGAGAATGGAATTTAGTTTTTGCACCTTCACCTACGACAGGTGTGAAATGGCGTGGCTGCGACATCGGGTAGGGTGTTGCTTTGTTGGTTGTTCCAGGATGGTGATCCGTTCCTCTGAAAGTAGTGGCGGTACTAATTTCAGATTCTACTGGATAGAGCGAGTACCTCGGAAACGCTGAAGAGTGAGGATTATTTTTCTCGTCGGACTTGGCAGCAAATATAAATACAGGACTACTCTTTGCTATTTGAGATTGATCAATGTAACATTGTGCTGGATTGCAATTGTTCCTCTGCACAACAGAGGGTCAGACGGTTTACAGATTAGATAGCTAACTGTTAAGTTTAGTGGAGCACAGAAAAAAATCGGGAACCTTTTTTTTTTCTAGGGAGAATGGAGTATTTACCGAGGGAATTAATTTCGTCGGTTCAGGGTACCATCCTTGGTGAGAGCTTTCATACTTGCGAACCTTTTCTTGTAGAAACTGAATGTACTCTATAACCTGGAAACATGTTCGGAAATCAATCTACAACGCACCATAATCGAAAGAGAAGTGAAATATCACCAAGTGAGATGCACATTTACCTCTAACAGAAATGATGCCTTGTCTCTCTTCTGGTCGCTACGAGGAATAATTTCTCTCAACTTCAGAAATCTGCATGTAATGTTTACCTTCATGAGAAATGGAAATGAACGCTAAAGTGATTCTTCCACTAATTGCGTCTTATAAGAAAATATATACATATGTTATGGAAAAGGACACGTCTGCCATTGAACTAACGTATGTCGGTGGAAACTTGCCTATCATTAATTTTGCTCCTTCGGCGCTGTTCTGTTGCAGAATGTTTGGACCTCGGCGTGTTAGCCTTCTGATCAGAGCATTTTCCTCCGACATTTATCCTCAATTCACCTGTTAATTCAAGATTTCCAGAAAGATTAATATTAATCGAAGAGAGTTTTCCTGGAAAAAAAATTCCTCAAAGTCATAAAAACATATATCAGCTCCATCATTTCTGATACATTTTCCTTAAAGTGGCTTATCGTTATTTATAATCTAGTAGTCAAAATTTTGTACACAAAACAACCCAGAGAATGAAATCTGCGAGAATAATGTACCTTCGTAGGCAGTGGATGGTGATGATTCCTTCTTAATAACAAATACTTTGCCGTCGTCTAGTTCCTCTTCCTCGGAGGAAACCTTCACCGCGGACTTTAACATCTCATCAAAGCTCCGGTTCCTCTGGCCTGAAGGCCTGCTCGAAAATTTCCAGGAAGTCCAGTCTCAGTATTTAAATAATTGGGAAACCAAAATAAGAATATAGACGTTTAGAGAAGTGACTGACTGAGAGGATGAGAGAGAGCTGAAGCTGTTGCGATGGTTGCTTGATGATGATTGCGATGGCCGCTCCGTCGAAACGGCCCATTGCTCAATCTTCGCCGTTGATTCTGCAAGGAAGAACACGAGATCCGTTGAAATGGGAAGCAACGTAATTGGAAAACTCAAATGATAAAGGAAAAATATGCGCTAATACCAAGAACTCCATATATATTCGAATTCTAATCCATGTAATCCAATAATCCATGCAAGAAAAACAAACAAAAATTAGAGTTGATAAGAACACTAATTGATTTAACAGACTAAGACAATTTTATACGATCAGATATACGAAAGAGAAATTGAAAACTGTAATTATTTGAACGACCCTTAAGAGGGAACAACCATGTTAATTTTTTTAGAATCCCACACAGATGTCGCATATGGGCTGGTTGTACACGAATGATTAGAACTGAAAAGCAAATAAAGATAAAAACTTTACCCCTTAAACCGGGCTTTTCGCCCAAATTCTCGTTCATTGTCTTTCCCTTTTTAACTGCAGATTCTTCCCACAACGTGAAGCCACTTCCAGACAAAGAACTACAGCGGGAGTCATCATCACTTTTGTCAGTGTTACTCGGTTGAGCAACTGAAAACACCGATCCTTCTGGCTTTGGAGCCCTCTGGTTGAAATAAGAAATGTGGCTTATACTGTAAGAACCAATTCCACCTGGTAGAAGACGCGAATTCTGAGCCGGAGGAGCTGCTAACGGCGGCGCTGACACATTGACCGTTGTCTCTTCCTTGGCACATGTCTTCCCAATCCGTTCCAGCGGACGTAGAAAATCATGCGTTTTAATATACCCTCCTGTTCTCACAAAAATAGAAAAAATATCATCATTAATCCAAATGCAGCCATATGGCTTCTAAATTAATACTAATGCAATTAATCGCAAGGGACTAAATCGATAATACTTATTATTAGAGTCTTCCGGACAAATTACATGTACTGTAATCAACAAAGTCTTTTACCCAAAATGTCCACAAATATGGCAATAATTGGCAAAACGAATTGAACAAATAATTGTCCCCAGAAACAAGAACAATCTGAATGCAAGAATTTCAAAGTCCCAATTCAAATGAACACTACTTTATAATGAGGATCTCGTAAGAGATACGCGTGGTGGGGGCAGTAAGAATAGATTCGCTTTATTTATGATGGAAATTATTCAGAAGCAAAGAAGCATGCGCTTTTTTCAGCAAAAAGAAAACAAAAAAAAAATTGCAGATTTAAGCGGTTCCCGACGGTCATCTGAACTGAATTTGCTAATCGCTTATCCAGAATGTGCGATACGTCAAGTCAGTTGTCGAAACCCTAAGTGGGTCCCACATCGAAAGGATAAACCAATCAGATTGCGCCAACTGGCCACATGCTCAGCCTTTCATTTTCCTTTATGGAATTCGGTGAGCCTGTTCTGTATTCAATTCACAGCTCTTCATTTTTTTTTTAAGTTTGCAAAATTATTTTAATATCTCTTTTTTCTATATTTATCATTTAAAATTTTAAAGGTGGATTACTCAACATCTGTTCAATTGAGCCCACCCCCTCTCTTAATTTGTGCCCTAGATCCATGATTTTATTAGAGGTCACGTGCAGGGACATCCATAATTTCATTTTCAAACAAAAAGTGATTTGAATAAATACAGAAAATAGACCATGGCCTTTATCAAAAACAAACGCCCAACCAATCATAAAATTTTGAGTCTTAAGCCTATTGATTTTGGGTCTAAAATAATGGAGATTTTTATGTGAATAACAATAGAATTAGAATACAGCGATGGAGATTAAAATTTGAGTTGAATTTTATTAGAATTTGAATGTGTAAAAAGTTAAATTAGTGCAATAAAACTGTAATTAAATGGGCAGTTTTGATTAGAGAGGGAATAATACCTTGGAAGGAGTGGCATGGATCTTGTTGGACAGTTGAATGACTATAGAGTGACGACAGAAAGTCATGTGTTGGTTTCCGTCCTGTACAACCAACACCTCACAAATTAACATGCTGCTCAATCAAATCATTCATTTAATTTCCAAAAACTCAATTTAATCCAAAAAAAAAAAAACTCGAGAGATCACAGATATTTGATGAAGTTTGAAGAAATTGTGTTCTGCGAACAGAAGAATTAACACCTTCGTTTCCGAGGGGACGGGGGGGTTGGGGAAGCTCCATCGTCGACTATTGGGAGAATTACCGAGGACGTACTAATTGGGAACAGTTTTCCGCGAATTCGTCGCGTAATTTCTGGATTTTGAATTCGAAGCCCTCCAAATAGTCGAATTCTCTCGCTGAATTCGAAAATCCTTTTCCAGCCAGAATTGAATCGTTCAGGACGACGTGAACACCTGCAAAAGCTGGCGGATCGGAGAATATATGCCTCGGTGTGGAGATCTGAAAGGCGCATTCACTTTTTAGCTTTTCAGCGATCGGACTGTACTACTTCTCTGATTGTTACTCCACAAAAACATCTCCAGAAGAGAAATAATAATTGAGTTCCGGCTTCAGCAGTAGAAGAACAAGATGAATTATATTGTATAACAAAAAATTCGGATGAACAAAGAGAGAGAGAGAGAGATATATATATATATAATATAAAACCAAAAATAAAGCAGAGAGGATCGGAGTACCTAATTAATTCAATCAGAAGAGCGAAGATCGAGTTCGTCACACAAAGTGAAGAGGTTGTTGAGAATCAAAGTGGATTTTGAAATTGAAAACTGAAATAGGGAGAGAATTAGAGATGGAAAATGGCAAAGAATCTGCTTCGGATTGCCGCTTACAAACAAAACGCTCTTTTCTCTCTCTCTCTCTCTCTCTCTCTCTCTCTGTGTTGTGTTGGAATTGGAATTGGAATATCTCTTTTTCTTCTTCTCTGCCCTTGTTTAAAAAATCAAACCAAAACAAAACGCTGCAGCGCTATCTCACAGCGCCGGGGGCGGAGTCGCAGTCTCTCTCTCGCGGCGGATTCAGCATCTTTATATATACTCTCTCTCTCTCTGTTTCTTTCTTTAACTTTTTCGTTCGTCTGTTTTCGTCGTTTTCCGTTGGGTGAGGGGACGCCGTTTCATTCACGGCGTTACCGTCCACGGAGACGGACAACGGGGTTTATTTTAATTTAATTTGATTAATTTATTATTAGCCCCTCGCCGGAGCGTCAATCCCGATTTGTTTTTCTAATATTTTTTCGGCAATCCCAACTTGTGGAAATTGTTATTTTAATTTGCCATTACATATATTTTTCTTTTCCGTGGAGTCCAATTTTCTATTCGCCCTAACTAAGCTGTAATCCACAATACTATGATTTTTTTAGTTCGGATAAGTTGAAGCAAGGATTTGAACGTGTTAAGACTGAAATTACCCATCAAATTTTTTATAAACTAAAGTTATGATATGGCTCAAGCTAGATGATTAGAACTTAGTCGACCCAAATCCAATAAATTCAAAAGAGATTCTGAGTGAGACATATACCTTCACAATTTTATTTTTGCTACTGTTCAATGAAACGATGCAACTATATAGTTCTAAACCAAAATCTTGCATGGACAGAATTTCTAAATTTTAAGAAAAATTTATAATTTTTTAATTAATAGTCAAATACATGAACACAAATGGATTCAAATCAAGAGATAAAACTATGGATAAAAATATCTTTGATATATTATAATCTTAGATTTTTTTTTGCTCTCACATACATAGCTGCAAATATAACAACATTATTTTTTTAATTTAGAAATATAGTAAAATGAAAAAATCCAATCCAAATTCACTCACGAGAAAGACAAGATAGCCTTGAAATGTTCTAGTTTTTCCTTCCACAATATCTCAACCCACTATTTCAAGTGTATCATTTATTTACATTTATCCATCTGTGAAAATGTCTATCAATAAAATAAAAAATATATATATATATTTTTTTTTTTTTTTGAAGAAAGGTATGACTGAGGGGAAAGGATGTTGGTGGGAGGGGCGAGATAATCACGTGACTGACAACCCTTTCCTTTTTGAATATGTGTTTTGTTTTTGTTTAATCTAATCCCCAAAAAATAGGCTCACTTTTTTGGCATATTCTCCCTCTTTGTTTCTTCTTTATATAAATAAATAAATATATTTTATGTATTTACATTTATATTCACAATCACTTCTCCTCCATCTCCATGTGCACATCTTAAAAAAGTAACATCCACAGAATCAACTAAACTAACTTAATTAGAATAAATTTCACGATAATGCAATTAAAGAATGGCTTCTCTTTCTCTATAATAGCATGGATGAATATATAATATAACCATTTACAATTTTGTTTATATATCTTTATTCATCAGGGAACTAATGTACTCACACATTATTTATGATTCATATTTAAAATAAATGTCTCGATCTTTTTGAAAAGTCGTGAAAAAATGTTAGAGCGAGAAGAATACAAAAATAGTCATATATGTGATATTACATGCTTAAAAATTTAAAAAAAAATAGAAATTACTTGACTTGATTATTTTAAACAAATTAGCAATTGTTCTCTCTACAAATACTCGAAACTTTCCAACTTGCACGTTAATTAATTATGGGACATTTGACATAACACATAAAAGCTTTTAGGTTGTTGATTAGTTTCAATCTATTTGATTTAACGGGTGAACAACCTTTTAATTGTTTGCATTAGTTTTCTAAATCATATTTTATTATCTAATTGAGTTAAAACATAGTTTTCTAAATCATATTTTATTATCTAATTGAGTTAAAACAACTTTATACTTATCTACAACGATGTTGATTATAGATTGTACAAATAAATATTCCAATTAAATTAGTTTTGTATCATTATAAACATGTATGAATTTACGTAATATAATATTTAATCTCAACTAATACTAATCTTTCAAGTTTGTTATAGTTTAATTTGAATGATGTTAGGGGCATTTCTAATCCGTAGACCTCATGAATTATCATATTATAATGCCTAATATGGGGTTTGGTTTTTTTTGGTACAAATTTGAGTATAAAATATAACAAGTTGAGATAAATGTGGATAAAATAAAAGGGGTAGGAATTATTTATTTATTTGTTCAATCATTATATGCATAGAAATATTTATTCATAAGTGTCAATTTGAATTAATTCTTCATTAAAAAAAATTGGGGACTAAAATATAACTAATTAATATGGAAAAAAAGGAATTATTAGTATGGATTTTATTATTATTTTATTGGTTGAAAAGGAATTAGTTAAATGGAGGGAGTAGCATGAAACATGGGGGGAACTGGGAAGGAATCCGTTTAGGGATCAGTTAACAAATATTAAGTCAAGACCACCGGCGCAGAATCCGTGACGAGCACGTGATTATTTGACACCTCCGCCTCACGTGGCCAACTCACTGTTTCCGGGCCCCACACCACCCTCCATTGTCTATTTTCTTTCTTTTTATTAAGATATTATTGTCAAATAAAAAAAAAGGGGGTCATAAGGATGCCGTCCATATTGTATAAATTAAAGAAAATGTTTGGGGAGTAACTAATCAGCCTTATCTCAGGAAATTTTCTGATATTACGAAAGAACTATTTGTAGTAAATAAATTATTTGACAATTCATTATTACAATTTGTTTTTGTTTGTATATTTTTAAAATTTTCAAAGGACAGGAATATTATCCATAAATTAATGTAAAAGTAATGGATATGAATTAAAGCTTGTTTTGGGTTTGGTGGGTGATGGAAAAGTAAATTAAATATTGAAAAAAAGAAAGAAAAGGAAAAAGAGCGCATTACGTGTGCGACAAATAATGAGCCATGAGGTGACAGCACCCAATTCCGAAACCATTGTAGAGTAGGCACGTGATGACGCAGTTAGGTCACGTGTGCCCATCCTGCCGCCTCCACGGACCGCAGGCACGTGGTCGGATGCACAAACCGTTTTCTCTTTCTCGTGACGGTGTCACGTGTGGTGTGGGACCCGCTTCCAAAAGCAGCCACCCGCACCCACTACGATAAAATCAGTCAGTTTTGGGTTTTGGTGGGCCCATGTATGTCCCCCTCAGTGTCTCTCTGCTGACGTTGTCGAAAAGTCACGTGATCTCGTAGCGTCGGCGTGCGCAGGCCCACCACACCCACATGTTCGAAGAAAGTCCTGACTGAAGAGTGGCGCGCCACGCCGCACGCCCCACCACCACACGCACCCCAATTTCACTGCCCATGCCACTCCAAAAATGGATAACCCTCCAACTTCAATTTCAACTCTGGTCCCCCACCAGCTTTCTCTTTGGTTTCATTCTAATCCTCCCGCGGTCAATACATTTATCATCACTCCTACAACAACAACTGTACTGCTTAAGAATAGACATACACGATTTAGTTCCTGCTTGCCCCCAATTTTTCTGACATCAGGGTGTTAACGACATCCTTCACGAACACAAGGAAGCATTCCCTGCAGGAATCTCGCATTAGAGTGGATCTATGGAGTTGTCGGGCGTCTTCTCTATGGCTGCACACCGAGTAGGATAAGAATCGCTTGCTGCATCTTGGAGGGGGCTCTAAACCACATGCACCCATGATGGTGTGAGTTGCGACCCTTGCCACTTCCTTGTATCCTTCATATCCTGCATAAATCTAGACTAATTACTCAACTTAATATAATCCCATTACAAGATAAAGCACAAACTGCTTTACTTTTGATAGTAATGTACCCAAATTTTTGTCTCTGCTTAGAAGTTTTAGATTGATCTTGACCAGAGTCCGTATCTCGTTTTTGGCATCATGATTATTGTGAGTCTCACCAGCAGCATGGCCTTTCTCCGAGGGTTGTATCGTTCTGGAGGAAGATGAAACTTCATCCACCCTGATTTTGTTTGATGGGTTTCTCCCGTTTTCATAGATGGAATCACCTCGACGCGGCTGGACCACGTTACCCAAGGAGGTTTCTCCATAACTGGATGCACTGGCAGGAAAAAACCCATTCGAAGCTTTGTTCTTCTTAATTGCTACAGGACGACAAAGTTGCTCATCCAACTCTGGCGATCTGTGCTTTCCCATTTCCTTCTTATCCTTTGTCAGTTCCTGTAGCTTCTTGATTTTGTGCTGTTGACCTTTTGCTGTATGGGAATCTTTTACTTCTATGCCGCCAATTTGTCTGCTAGCGGGATATCTCAAGCTTTGATCTCCCTCACGTATAGCCTTTGCCTTTGCAATTTCCATCATCCTCCATGCCTTCTCAACATCATAAGAGCTCTCATTACACTCGGGTCCGGAAGCTTGCTGAGAGCTTTTGGCTGTTGAAAAGTGTGGTTGACCTGTTTGGTTATTGCTTAGTGCAGCACCAATTACTTGTTTAGAACTGTTTCCACCATATGATGATGAGCTAGAGGGAAAGCTCAATGACCCCCTTCGTAAGGCACCCCAATTTTCACGTAATGCCCTTATATGACCATGGATGTTGCGACAGCGGTGTAATGTTCTTGCACTTGTTCCAGCACCTTTACCACCACGACTAGGAAATGATTTCTTGGCCACGCTGCTTCTCCAACTGGGGACAATAGAAGGTTGCTCACGATTAGAATGTAAAGGGGCTCTTCTGGATGGCATGCCAACTGTTTCAGCACTCGATTCTTTTACTAAATCGGAAATGGAAATGTGGGCTTCAACTGTTGCTATTTGATTTTGATCATTGCCACTAGCATCCATTTCAGTATCAGCATGTTGAGCCCTGGACAGTGTGCAATCATGGCAAAACCAATCACCTTCTGGCACATTAGCACCCAGGCCGACACAATAAGTATGAGCAGCTGAATCACAGAGATCACAGAGTAACATTAGACCTTCATCTTCTACACCCTTGCATACAGTGCAATATGTTTCTGCATATGGATCATGAGGCCCATTCATATCATTTCCAGTAGCAGACTGATCCTGGAACCAGAGACATGTTATAAGCTTGTGGAGCTATGTGGATATCTACACCCAAGTTGAAATTTGCTTCTAGATAAACACCAAACAAGCTCTAGAGAACTTGAGAGAGAGACCGACATATTTCTAGTAAGGAGGTAACTGTAAAAATGCATATCATTTTCATACTTCATTACCTAGACAATATTACATATTAAGTAATTTTGATCTATAGAAGGGTAAAAAAATTCTTAATCTTTTATAGTACTTCTGCAGTTGCTATTCGAACTAGTAGATAACAGGAAAGAGAATCATGGAACTGGTAGAGATCATCAAGCATGCAGAAGTTCTTACATTTCGACCTTGTCCTGGAAACGAAGCAAGTATCCTCAAATTTTCTACATTGTTCTTTACAATCCATGTAACTTTAGGAAAATTTGTTCCTATTACTACAAGTTGCAACAGAAAGGGAAGAACTACACTTGCAGAAAGCTATAAATTGCACAATTGGAACTAAAATCAGAAACGAAAAATTAACAAATTCATAAAAATTGAACACACGATATCCAAATTCAACGTCCTAAAAATTTCATCCCTAAAAACCTAGAAAAGCTAAATGTCAATCTTCAAGCACAATAAAGCAGTTGGTATTCATGGATATCCTCTCAAGTAAATATACATTTACAGAGCTGCAAACCTGATTGCGCATTGGAATATTGACGATTCGTTCACGGATTCGACAGCCATCCTTGGGAATTCTATGAACGGCGGTGAATCTGCCCTTGCAAGCAGGACATCTAGATTCAATCCTCGCCCACTCCATGATGCAAACGAAGCAAAAATAGTGGTCGCAGGAATCGAGCTTGCCTCTCTCCGCTTTCCCATCGTCCGAAAAACAAATTACACAGATAGAAGACGGATTATCGTCTTCCGGCAGCTGGTTTTCTGGAAATTTGCCTTCTGCTGATTCGTGTTGGATCCCCGATTTCGTACTCGCGGAAGGACAGGAAATTAGGGCTTTTGGGCGCTCTTCTGGGGAGGCGAACGGGTTACTTAAGTCACCCGCCATCGTTGTTGAGTGGCCGAATGGCCGGAAGACCTCAATTATTTCCGGTGACGGAGTTCAGACCGGATCCCGGAGGGACGGCAACGAGCAGCACTCGGGGGATAGGGCCTCTGTTCTCGATATTTTATTCATTTCTCGAAAAAGATTAAAAATATGAAAAGAACTTGGAACTTGGCAGCGACAAACATTAGAAAATGAATAAACGTTAAATTTTAGAATATATCGGTAACAAATTTTAGTCTGTAATATTTGATATCTTTTCAATTTAATCTATATTGGTTGCAACGTATTAATTCACTCTATGACGTTTTAATATTTTTCGATTTAATCTCTCACTTTAGTATATACTAAAATTGACTTATAATAAATTGATATTCGGTGTCATCCTGAACTAGCTTACTTTATGATTAAGGCACATATATCTTACTAAAAGATCGTGGGTTCGAATCTGCACCTTACAGATGTCGTGAAAGTTTTTCATGTGTCAATTTTTTTTTTTTATATCTGTGGGTGTCCTAGTCAGCTTACGCACACTTCGACTAATTTCACGGGACAACCGTCTGACCCTACAACATTTGGTGTCGGAAAACACATAGAAATTACTAATTCTTAAGATTTCATAAGTTAATTTTAACATTCACCAACGGAAAGAGACTAAATTAAAAAGTCTTAAAACATAAAGAGACTAATTTGAAATTTTGGAAAAAATATCCTACTGAAAAAATTGAAAGAAGATCAATAATACATGTATTAAGCCTATAAAATAAACCGAATCTTTTTAGTTCAATGAAATAAGGTGATTAATATCTCAATGAGTTTTGACTTCAAGTACACTAATCTTAATAATAAATTAGTAGTTGAGTTAGTGGTTAATATCATAACTTTAAATAATCATGGTAGTTTTATTATTATTTTTAATTCAAACCTATAACTTTTAATAAAGTTACTAATATTTTAACTTAAAAAACTCATGCACGCAGTTAAATTTTCATTTTTTTTTTTAATTCCACTCACACTCATCCAAATTTTTTACACTACCCAATTCGAAAAGTGAAATTGAAACTTTAAGGTCTTTAAGATCACAATTTTACTTTTAAAAATTATGTTTCTATCTCCACTTTAATCACTACTCAAATTTATTATTATTTTTTAAAAAAAATTTGTTTTTATGTTCCATTTCTCCCCATTATTTCCGTGTATTCTTTACGTTTTCACATGGAAAACAAAAAAAAAAACAAAATAGTTATTAAAGTAGGGGTGGATTGAAAAATGACACGATATACATTACAATTAAATTAAATATTTGCATCAATTAAAAATAGATTATGTTGTTGGTTCCAATTCCAACGCAGGGATTTCATGTGAGGGTGTTTGTAAAAGATGAAACAACAGTTTTTATGGATCGAATCCCAAAATAGTTTCTTTTTCTTTTTTTTAAGTTACTCATATGTAAATTTGTAATAATAGAATTCCTATACTTTTTTTCTTATTATTTTTAAATTAAATATTTTATTTTAAATGACCATACAAAAATTTTATAATCCCCGGTCAAAATTAAACATGGCCGTATGTTTCAATGGAAAGTTCCAAAAATCTTGTCTATGGACAAAGTAAACAAAAAAAAAAAAAAATTAAAATTTGTTATCGGAAAGTGAAAAAGTTAAAAAAAACAAGACTTGGACAGTGTGGAATTACAATTACCGACAGAACTGTAAGAAAATGTGCTCACTGACCCAACGTGCATAGGTTGTCGCATTTCGTAATTTCCCACTTTTTTTTTCACCTCTCCGACATCCGCTCTTATATATATAAATAAATATATTACCACTCACGACCAATGTGTTTTAATTAATATAATAAAATTATATTTTAAATTATTCTTTTTAGTGTAAGTTATAGTGTTTGTAATTTTAGTAGATAAGGCACATATATATTGTTCATCGTTCCATCCTTTTGACTCTGCAATCATTCAAGTGAAAAAGAAAATAATCTAATTCATTTAATCATTTGATAAAAATCTAAAACATTTTAGAGACATAATTTTAGACTTTCATGATAATAAATATTCGTCGATACGTCGATATTTATATTAACATTTCCATATATCTGTATGTTTGACAGAAATATGAGAGGTAAATCGACATTTATATAATAATATCAACAAAATCTCATTAATATAAATATTGTTAATTTAAATAGTTTTTTCCAATTTTTTGTTTTTATAACATAAATATCTATCGTCATTGACATTATATTTTATCGATATTTTCATCGACATTTATGTGAAAATTGAGATATCAAAATTTTCATCGACATCGACATTTAAAACTTTAGACTTTTTAGTTATTACATATATATTAAAAAAAAAGACTAATTACATATAAGTTCAATGAATATTGGTCCGCTTAGATACCATGCACGTTATGTTTCAATTTGTGTATAACTCTCTTGAAAAAAAAACAAGAAGAAAAGAAAATTGAGTGTAACTTTCATAAGAAAAAAAAAAAGAAGAAGAAGCTATTATCCATCCCATGTGAATGAATAGCAAGTACTTGAAAGAGAGACTTTTGTTAAATGGTTTATAAAAGAAAAATTAAGATAATGGCTAAAATTGATTTGGTTCAAAAGTTTAAAGATTATGGAGTTGTTTGGGATGTGCAAGATTAATATGACCAAAGTTCTATATCAAATTCCAACCAAAATTATATATTAATTAGAATTGAGAAGGATCCTGAGATATATAAAAATAAGAATAACTATCAGTACTATTGGTAAAGGTGTGTTGTGTGTGGTGTTGAATGAAAATGTGTCATGTGGCATAGAGGTGGAACGAGAAAGATCTGAACTATTCCCACGTCGTGAAGTTTGAAAGGAAAATCACTAATTCTTTTTATTATTCGAAAAATTAACTCCAACCTAACAGGAATTGTTCCCAACAGTTCGGTAATTTTCTACTAACCATTACGTTAAATTCACGAAATGTACTAAGTAGTTTTTTTTTTTTGGACTTGCTCTTGAATACTTATAAATAATATGGCTCACTCCACAAATAGATAAGTAAAATTGATCGTCTTGAGACATAATAGCTCGAATTGAGACTAACTTGAGCTTTAGAATGCTTATGCCTTTATTTTGCAGGTTAATCATCACAATTCTCAAGAGCAACTGAATTTTGGTTAAAACAATTTTTTTTAGATGAAACTAAAAGTAAAAACATGGATACGTAACCATAGTATCATATATTCATCGAATGTAAGACAATACTTTTATCATCTAAAATCGTTTTGAGTAAAATATAAAATTGCGAAACGGTTGGGTGTAGATGATTATGATATTAGAAAGGTTTTGGAAGTATGGTCCCTAAAAATGAAGCCTTTTTCCCGATTTCAAGAGGGTGTCCCCCGCACATCTCCCCAACACGAAAAATCTCTAAAGTTTTCAAAGGCTTGAAGGCTTTATGGCTTGTCGCCAACACAAATTTCTTCCCATGCAAACGACCAAACTCGAACACACATAAAAACAAACAAAACACAGTTGGTTTAACCTGTGGGGAATCGAAATTCTACACTTTTAATTTGACTTCAAACATTGTTTTTTCTTTTCTCCTTTTGTTGTCTTATAAATCACACCACTCTTCCCATTTCAAATGCTTCCTTTCCCTAGCTAGCTCTCTCTCGACTACCATGGCATCTACAAGAAGGCTTGTCATCTTTTTGCTTGCTTTCTTCTCCCTACACTTGAACGATCAAGGTAATTTAATTCTAAAGCTGATGATTTTATTTTAATAACATGTGTTTTTTAAGTTAAGTTTCGTTATGTGGGCAGGTGGGATTATTGCATATGGAAGAAATTATCCCTTTCCAATGTCTCGGGTTGGAAGTGAAAAACAAAGAGAATCAGTGAGAAAGATGATGGGTAAAGAAGATTTGAGAAGGGTAAAAGAGGAAGGTCACCATTTTTCTGGGAGCACATCTATTTCCAATGGTAATTTGAATCCAAGGAAGAATGCAGAGAATTGGAGTGCAAAACCAAAGCTCATTAGCAAAAGAGATTACAACCTGAACCAGCATCCATTGGACGTTGAAGCTTCTAGTTTTGTGACTTTTAATGCGGACTATTTTGTCGCCAAACCACATCCTCCAAAGAACAATGGAGGGAAGTGTCTCTAAACCATTTATTGATTTATATTATAAAGTTTTTTTTTTAGATGGAAGAATTTTAGTAGAAATAAATGCTAAAACATAAACATGAAAAAAGAAATTTTAAAAACATGTAATTTTTGTCCCAATCTGGGTTTTAGTAGAGCAAACTTCTTTTTCAACAATTAATCATTAATTAATTCGGGAATCTCATTTTTGGTAAACCCGTTCTAATGAAAAAGCAATGCTTGATTTGACAATCCCACCCTTTTGGCTAAACATCATCATCCTTTTAATTTATAGCTTTTATCATCAAACAAATTTACACTTCTTCCCAGTTTTACCCCTCCCAACTAATTATGGCTTCAACTTTTAGTTCATGTTGTAGTTTAAATTAAGATTACTTTAGTTAATAGGAGCATTACTCAGCTCTAAATGTACTTCTTCTTTTAATGTTGGAAGTTCAAATTCTCCGACCTTATATTGGTTGTACTAAAAAGATTTTAAAAAAAAATTATTTCTTCTCTCTTAAATGCCAAGATTTGCATTTTTTAAATGCAATTCTTTTTAATTTTTCCATAAATGTTTGTATCTACCCTACAATAAACGGTGTTATAAAGAATTGAAACAAAAATCAATCGTAATAGGAATGTTATTTTCTATTACGCCGCTTACTAAAAATTTTCAAGAATCGTAACAAAAAATCTATTGATGTTCTCTGTCAAAGGGAATAAAATTCATTCTCTTGATTCTTATTCTGCTGAACGACGGGGCTTTAATTTAGTACTTACAGTCTTAAGGAGAAAAGAAAAATGCCATAAAAGTGATCATGAAATGACCATCATATCCCTCTCCTCCCTTCCATTACAATCTTCGTTCCTAATAAACTTGTTTTTTTAATGATTTTCTATATATAGAAAATTAAAATTGAGGAAAATTTATTCTAAGGGGACCTCATGCCTACCATATGACTATTGAAGCCACATCATTCCAATTCCCGTGTAATTTTTCCAAAGATCTTTTTTAAGCTTTCAGCAAACTCTAATTCCATCAAATTAAATTTATCTAATTTATTAACTTAAATTTTTTAAATCTATTAGTAGTTAATCGTGTTTAACATTTTTTCTCTATTTTTCATTTTAAAATGAGGGTTCAACTCGAACAACTTTAGATCGGATCTCAAATGAATAGAATACACCTACAACTGCTATAACACGTACAAAATAAACTCCGTTGAAATACATATCTAGTTTGATGGATTATATATTTAGGAAACTACGAACCAAAAACCATATAATATATTTCAAAAAACATGTCAATTTTTGTCTGGTCGACTGTAGAGAAGTTAAAACAGATGGTGGGAAAAAAAGGAAATTAAAGAACCTGAAACACATTGAAAAGCAACAGAAGAAAGTTAAAGGTAAATTATCCAGATGGGATTAATTATATTAGATTAATAAACTAAAAGTGATGATGATGAGGAAGAAAAAAAAGATCATAGCAAAATCCACCAGATAAATAAATTAACCTTAATTCATGAAGAACAAGTAGAGCTAGCTTGGCAAATGGTGGCTAGAGTTGGAATTAGCTTCGGCTCTGGCTCGATTATTGGAGTTGCAGAAAGCTTCTTCAAAATTTCTCAATGGCGTCAAGAAATCAGTTAGAATTATTTGAAGCGATGAAACTTTTCTTTTCAGCTCTGCATTTTCATGGAGAATCTGCTGGTTGCACTCCAGCAGCTGTATCAGTTTCTCCGACAACTGCCTGTTCGAAACCTCCAGCTGTCCCACCTGACAATAAAGTATTAAATTTCCATCCACACGTCGGTGTTCTTGTGAATATAACACATTCAATTCAGGTAACAAAATCATCTTGCCTGATATTGCAACTCTTCAATCTGCTTCTTCTTCCTCATCCGCGACCTCCGTGCAGATTCGCGATTCGATATCATTCTCCGCAGCTTCCTCTCGGCCATTATCGTCAGCTGATGATGCCGCCGATGGCCGTCGGGGTCGAAAACAGCATCGTTGCTATAACAAGAGGCAGTGTTGGGGGAGAAGACAGCAGTAGGAGCCGTCTGCCGAGTAATAATGGTGGGAAATATTTCTCCATGAAAACCACCACACGAGTCGTTTGATGGATCGTTGTTGTTGTTGTTATTATTCAAGCTCATCTCATCACCATCACCATCATGATCATGATCACCATATTCATGAATTCCATCTTCTCTTCTGATCATCATCTCTGGAAAAGAATAATGTCTTCTGATCTTCACCATGGATGAGTTGTTCTTCAAGCTTCCATCAAATGGGTTCTCACCAAATGCCAAATCATCAACACCCTTCATTTCATTCACCTCCATTTTCAAAGAGAGATGAGAGATTTAAAGAGAGAGAGAAGAAAAAAAAAAAAAAAGATGGATGGCTGTTATAAAATGAGAAGCTTGTTTTGATTTTGAAGGCCCTTCATAATAATTTCCTTTATGATCACCACATTTTCTAGAGAGATGGGGACCAGAAATGGGAAATTAAGACTAGAAGAAGTGAAGAAAAAAAGAGTGCTTAATAGGCAAGAATTTCTCAAAATTTTCAAATTTAATTTATTATTATATTATTTTTATTTTTATTTTTGTAATTATAATATGCTCTTTAGATATAGGAATGCCCCCTTTACTTGTTTTGCACAAAAATTTGGAATAAAAAACCATATGCATGGGTAGTTCTAGTTCACTTCTAAACGTACATTAGCCAGAAATTATTCTCAATGTTTTTTTTTTTTTGAAGAAAAAAAAGAATAGAGAGAAAAAAAAAAGAAAAAAAAAAATTAAACCTCTGCTGCTGCCTCTCATGTCAAAATCAGGCACATCTGATCTTGACATATGCCAATATTCCTACCAAAACCCAAAACCATAAGCAAATCCTAAATGATAATGTTTCCTTCTCACATATTTTTGCCATTAAATCTCCAAAAATAAGCATATGCTATAATTAAATTTCATTTTCAACCCCCTACTTAATCACCCACTTTTCCCATGGGTTCATTTCAAGGAATTAAGCTTTGTGATTTTCCTTTTGAGAAAAATATGATTATGTGTGATTAGAGAAAGTTTTGGTGGTTTAATTAACCCCTTTTTTTAGTTTGTAATTAAGCAATTAATTAATTTTTTTTTGTGGACTGAGGTTTTTAATTGGGAAAATTGCTGTTTTGCCCTTGGGGTTTTAACCATGGTTGGTTCCAACTCAGACCCAAGTTTTGGCCTTAGCCATATTCTAAGCTAGCTTCCATAAGACATGGCCCCCCCCCACACCATTTATTATTATTGTCGTTTTAAAGAATCTGTCTCCATAAAAATAAACCAATTTTTATATATGGCTAATGAAATCGGTCAGTTGTAATTAATTATATGCTATAAACTTTTCAGAACCAATCAAATTTCTTACATTATAAAAACTTAGTATGTATACGTATTTGGTTTATGAATTTATAATTTATGAAAAGCTAGTGTGTGTATATATAGTTGAAGTTTTCGTGGGATAAATAAATTAAATCTCCATTAATATAGGTTTGACTTTTTAATCTCTCGAATTTTACAAAATTTGTAATTTGTCAACAAAACACACGCAAGGTTATTTATTTATTTATTTATTTATTTATATTAATGATAGTGAAATACACAGTCAATAAGTTCTTTTTTGGCATTTTTATGATTGTTGAATATTTGATTTAACCGAAAAGTAGTTCAAATGTATATTTTCCTATATATTTTGACTTTTTTTTTTTATGTTGATCTTTTGGTCAACTTATATGCGAATTTTTTCTTAAATTTAACTTAAATGCAATTAAACTAATGTCATAAGAGATTTAAATAATATAGATTTAAACTTATAGAGGAATAAATATATACATATAGATTATTGGAGATTCCTTACATATATGTACACTCCCTCAATAGAGGTAATTGGCAATAGCCAAAATCATCTCAACTAATTTGATTAGAGTTATTTTTCTTTTTAATTTCATAAGAAAGCATATTTGATTTTCTGAATTTTGAGTATATTCTCATAAAACATTAAAAAAAAACAAATGGAATCAAACCTAACAAATTAAAAAACAGGGAACAAGCTCTCAAACCAATGAAAAAGGTTTGAGAAAATTATTCTTTTGCCACTAAGAAAATATTTAATGGGTGGTTGGGCAAAGCTAAATCTCACCCTATATGTCTACTATAAAGGCATACCCAAATTCGAATTATACCAAAATTAGACAAATTATGGACCAATTGAAACATACCCTTTTAGCTTAAGTAGTAAAATATGCGAATTCCAAAAAAAAAGCTTATTAATATTAATTAATTAATACATGCTATAAAGAGCATGTTAGTGTTTATAAATGTTTCAGCTACCCTGTTTGTCAAATCTTATTGACCCAATTAGGGAGAGATTATGACATTAAACCTTATAGCTAAAATTTGAATTTACGTATGCAATACGAATCGATATTTGATCATTAAAATTTGATTATTAATGTCATTAGGAAGGAATTACCCAAAATGAAACTATTAATGATATTCTTAGTATGCAAATTGTTGAGGCTTTGATAACTTATGTGTATTTTTCAGTAAAACACCTAAAAGAGGCTATTTCCAATGTTATATATAACATATAATAATATGCAGTGTAATTTATGGCTACAGAATCAGGTTGGGAAGTCTAATACTTATATATATATATATATATATATATATATATATATATGTATGTATATATTCAAATAAATTTGGAATTTGGAATTCAGTCATTGAAACATATCATTTTGTTCTTTGATATGAGTTAATTAATGATTTAAAGATAATTTCTAATTAGTACCTAAATTTTATAAATTCATTTGACTATATTATTTATTTATCAATTTAAAAATGTGGATAGTTATATATGTATATGTTATTATTTGTTGCAATTATCTTCTGTTTAAAGAATATGTACAAATAATTTAAAGATGATTGGATATTCATTTACTAGAATTTAATTACATGATAAAATAATGTAATTTTTTTTAATACAAATGTAATATCTACATATCCTTATAGTTAGGTGAGAATATTTTTGCAGGTTTTAGCACTTTTAATTATGTTGGAGGCTAGTTATATTTGGATATTTTTTTACTTGATTTTGGGGTTAGGTTTGAGTATTTTTTGTAATTAGGTTTGAAATGTTTCTTTTCATGATTTTTTCGTTTTTAGAATTAGGAATGTAAATTCGAACTCATCTCTTGGTCAAGAAATAAGTACCTAAATCGTTTATCTAAGTTCAAGTTTACACATCTCACGTTAATTAACTAAATTTATTGCCTACATTGATAGCGATTTTCTCAAATTAATTATTAAGGCATCGTTTGGTAACCATTTTATTTTTAGTTTTCTATTTTTTAAAATTAAACATTCTTTTTGTCTTGTTAGGTTAACTTTTTCAAAATAATCTAAGAATTTAAATGTAATTCGAAGAAAGGTAGAAAAACATGTTGAAGAAATAGTGAAAAACAAACATAATTTTTAAGCATAAAACTAAAAATGAAAATCGTTATCCAACCATGTTTAAACTTTATTCAAAGTTGGCGGGCTAAAGAGACTTCATCCTTTCATCCTCCTAATTATGAAAATAAAAATTCATGGGTCAATTGGGCATGTGCCATGGGATTCGAGAGCCGCCATATTCTACCGTGACAAATTAAGATATACTTTGTTATTGTTACACATTTTCGAGAGAACCATACTCGAACTTTTTATTATTTTCACTAAATTAATAAAAAGTAGTCAGCTTATTAGACTAAAGTGTTCTCATCACTGCTATTAATTTAATAGTGCACCCATTGATTAAAATGAAAATGTAAATTAAATCTAATCCCCACCCAAAGAATGGTTGGTTGGATGAATATGGCTTTAAAATTTTGGATCATAAAGTCTATAATTTAAAAAAGAAAAAAGAAAAAAGAAAAGTGGAATAATGAAGAATTTTGAAACTTACATCTACGTGGAATTAGGATTCTTTGAGAATGCGAAAGTGGGGTGTTTGATTCTGGGGATGAGATTTATGAAATTAAATTTATAAATTTGCTTTTCATTTATGATGATATAATAATTTTAAAGAAGTTAAGATGCACTAAATGCTACCGTATTATAATTTATTTTACTCAACAAGTTAAATATATAATCTACTTAAAATTAAAAAACAGAAGATTGAAGAACAAAAATCGGAGGTAAAATAATGTCATGATTAGTTGAACTATGTAATATGTTCTTGATAAAATTTCAATTATTAATATGAAATTTTTTTCACATCGCTTCTATTTACTGTTTACCTTATTAACTTGTATTTAAAAATGATATGATGTTATCAATCTAAATATAAGTAGTGGATAAGAGATCTATTTATGGACATTTGAATTTATGGGTTTGTTTTATAGAAAGGTAAGATACACCAACATAGGCATGATTTTTATAGTCTCTTAAAACACTAAGTTTTTAGGGCTCTTGGATCTATTTATTCTTTTAAGTTTTGTGTTGTTTTTTATGTCAATATATATACACACAGATCTATTTATTATTTTTTTTAAGAAAAATTAAGACTTACAACACAAATAAAAAAAATCTGAAAAAAGAAATGTGATTAGTCGTAAAGAAAAAAATTAACATGTAAGAAAGAACATTTTATGGCGCTTTGAATAACACAGTTAGAATTTTTCTTTTCGACGCAAATAATGATTAGGTTGGATCCGAGCCGATCCTTCAAAATTGCCGGCCCGGTCCATGGGCTGCGGAAAGCTTGGGCCAAACCAAATAACAAACCACCATTTCCGCACGGCCCGGCCCGGCCCATTTTGCAGTTTAAAGTGGTCGGTCACATTTAGAGTTGATTGTTAATCTAATCAATGTTTATTATTAATTTCCAACATGACTTTCAATCTAAGGTCAACCATACAAAACACACACAATAACAGCTTGCCACAATCTTCGACTTTTAATAAATAAATCAATCTCACGCTCTAATACCTTTTAACCATTAAAAATAATATACATTAGAAAAACCAACAAAAGCTTGTATTATTTTTATTAAACACAAGTTAGGTCGAAGAAAGTGAAAGAAAAATACTTCCGTCGATCACGGTTAAATTTTTCGATTAATCTCACGAAACAACCAGGTACAACATTTAGTATCGAGAAACACATAGGAATTAACTCTTAAAGTAGGTGGCAAATCATTGGACTTAAATGAACTCATTTTCTCTCGCTTCACCTACCTCCGTGACAAATTGAAAAGTTTCAAAATTATCAATGTTTTATTATTAGTGAAGTGATGTTTATGTTATCTTACGTTGGGAAAAAAAAAAACTTTTGATAATAGATATATACTACTGTATTCGTTTTCAATTTATTTTGAGATCATGAGTATTGATATGACCATGTGGGTGTTCTATAAATGGTCTCGTAG